TGAAAGCTGGACTTTGTCTTGGACGGATTTGAAAAGGGCTCCTAATTAGATCATTTTAAGTAATTGGAAGAAGATGGCTCTTGGCTACATTTATCTTCCAACCGTGCTTTAGTAAGATGGTGATACGGAGATGACAATGGTATAGAATTAAAAGGAATGTTGTCCAAATAGTAAAAAATAGCTATACCATTTTTTTATTATCTGCTAATAGGCTCACAGTGATTTTGGTGAAGGTTCAAAAGGCAGTGCTCAATCCAAATAGAAAGGCTTGAACTATTTACCCAATATATCGGTACTTACTGCACCATTGGAGTTTCTTTTGTTCTTTTTACCTCCTATATATACCACACTAACCTGCATTGGCATGGGGATTATACCGTCCATGCGCTACACAGCAGAGCTCTAAATAGATCTATTATATGTGAGTGGTTTTCTTATAGTGATTACCTACACCATTTGCATTGTATCATATTGTATTGCACTTTTATTGTCTTTTCTTTTCCCCTGAGGTTTACAACATTTCCTGAAGGTTTATGTATGTATGATCTCTGAGGCGCAGTATACGCCATACTTTATTTTTTGTTTATCCACCACACAAGGTTTTGGGGAACCCTTGTATTGTATACTGCAGCCTTTATTGTAATATAGTAAGCGCCTATACCCTTCTGTTTTCTACATATATATTTTTTTTTTCTATACATATATATATATACACACTATTTTTTTCTTCCCTTTTTCTTTTAAATAGGTATATACAGTATCTCACAAAAATAAGTACACCCCTCACATTTTTGTAAATATTTTATTATATATTTTCATGTGACAACACAGAAGAAATTACACTCTGCTACAATGTAAAGTAATAAGTGTACAGCCTGTATAACAGTGTAAATTTGCTATCTCCTCAAAATAACTCAACACACAGCCATTAATGTCCGTTGGCAACTAAAGTGAGTACACCCCTAAGCGGAAATGACCAGATTGGGCCCAAAGTGTTAATATTTTGTGTGGCCACCATTATTTTCCAGCAGTGCCTTAACCCTCATGGGCATGTGTTAGCCAGAGCTTCACAGGTTGCCACTGGAGTCCTCTTCCACTCCTCCATGACAACACAGAACTGGTGGATTTTAGAGATTTTGCCCTCCCCCACCTTCCGTTTCAGGATGCCTCACAGATGCTCAATAGAGTTTAGGTCTGGAGATATGCTTGGCCAGACCATCACCTTTATCTTCAGCTTCTTTAGCAAGGTAGTGGTCATCTTGGAGGTGTGCTTTGGGTCGTTATCATGTTGGAATACTGCCCTGTGGCCCGGTCTCTGCAGGGGTATGTCACAGTACATGTTGGCATTCATGGTTCCCTCAATGAAATGTAGCTCCTCGGTGCCGGCAGCACTCATGCAGGTCCAGACCATGACACTCCCACCACCATGCTTGACTGTAGGGAAGACACACTTGTCTTTGTATTCCTCACCTGGTTGCCGCCACACACGCTTGACACCATCTGAATCATATACATTTATCTTGGTCTCATCGGACCACAGGACATGGTTCCAGTAATCCATGTCCTTGGTCTGCTTGTCTTCAGCAAACTGTTTGGGGGCTTTCTTGTGCATCATCGTTAGAAGAGGCTTCCTTCTGGGACGACAGCCATGCAGACCAATTTGATGCAGTGTGGGGCGTATGGTCTGAGCACTGACAGGCTGCCCCCTCACCCCTTCAACCTCTGCAGCAATGCTGGTAGCACTCATATGTCTATTTCCCAAAGACAGCCTCTAGATATGATGCTGAGCACGTGCACTGAACTTCTTTGGTCGACCATGGTGAGGCCTGTTTTGAGTGCAACCTGTGCTGTGAAACCGTTATATGGTCTTGTCCACCGTGCTGCAGCTCAGTTTCAGGGTGTTGGCAATCTTCTTATAACCTAGGCCAGGGGTAGGCAACCTACGGCACTAGTGCCATGCACGGCACTCAAGGTGTCTTTACACGGCACTCAAGGCTGCTACAGCCAAACAGGCTCTGGCCTATCAGGAGTCCCAGTGAATCTTCAGATATCTGCTAATACGAAAAGGTGGTGAAGGACAATCCTCAATTTATGCATTTCAGCATGTAGAGGAACTGATCTCAGATCACTTCCTTCCAGCACTTGTGAATGTGAGCAGCCTGCAGAGCAGCCTGCAGCTGCTGTTGCAGCTCCTGTCCTTGATCTGTACCTGGTCAGCCTGGTCCCCACTGGAACCCAGGGAAGCCTGTGCTAGATTTACACAGAAATGCACAAAAACCCTCCCCTCATACAAATAATACGAACAGCCCACAAACAAACATACATACAATCCGCACAAACGTAACCCGCTAACAATCCACATACATGCACACAACCCCACGTGCAGCCTCTCACATGCAATACCCCAAACAGCCCCCACACATACACACACTACAAAACACACAATGTGACATATCCATCCACACACACAATTCCACAAGCAGCCCCCATACACAGCCCACATTTATATGTATCATACACGATACCACAAACTACTCATGAACATATGCAATATAATAGCTCATATATGCACAAATACAACGATACAAAGCAATTACAATATAAATAACGCAAGCAGAATACGGCAGCATACACACCTCAATTTAAAAAAATTGGACCGGCACGCTACGGGACATCACAATCCTATATCGGCACAGTGCTGCTAAAAGGTTGCCTACCCCTGACCTAGGCCATCTTTATGTAGAGCAACAATTATTTTTTTCAGATCCTCAAGAGAGTTCTTTGCCATGAGTTGCCATGTTGAATTTCCAGTGACCAGCATGAGAGAGTGTTAAAGCAATAACACCAAATTTAACACACCTGCTCCCCATTCACACCTGAGATCTTGTAACACTAACGAGTCACATGACACCGGGGAGGGAAAATGGCTAATTGGGCCCAATTTGGACATTTCCACTTAGGGGTGTACTCACTTTTGTTGCCAATGGTTTAGACATTAATGGCTGTGTGTTGAGTTATTTTGAGGGGACAGCAAATTTACACTGTTATACAGGCTGTATACTTACTACTTTACATTGTAGCAGAGTGTCATTTCTTCAGTGTTGTCACATGAAAAAATATAATAAAATATTTACAAAAAATGTGAGGGTTGTACTAACTTTTGTGAGATACTGTATATACATAAGTAGATATCATGGTATATGTACTATGTACTATTATGAAATGGTGTGCTGATTTACTCTTGTTATAATATAATATGGAGCTATTTATAATTTTTTTTTAATATGCTTTGTTTTGATGTGTGTTTGTAGAGTGTGTTTTTATATATAGAAGCCTTTTTACCATCATGGATATTTTAATTATATTGTTTTCTCATTTGGGACATTGTTTTACATTTTAGTTAACATTCCCTTTCACTATGCATTAAGGGTTAGGTGCTTGTACACCTTTATGAAAAGAGTGTTTTCCATTTTAGCCTATCATATGGCATTATTTGCAGACTTTTTGGGCAACCACGCCCACCAGAGTGACTTAAATAGAGACTGTGGTCAAAGTAAGGGCGGATCTGATGAAGCTGAGCAAATCAGCGAAACGCGTCATCACGCTCTGACATCATCACGCTCGCCAACCGTAAGCCCCGCCTCCCGGAAGTAATATGTTACGAATCCAGCCCTCTGAGTCTTGTAAAGCCGGCATTCGACCTTAGGACTGGAGAGGACCTGAACTGGAGGAGAGGGAAGTGTAAAAGGGGACTTACCTGCCCGGAAGCTGATTCTATTCTGTTTGTGAATAAAGCATTTTTGCCTTCTCCACAGATTCAAGTCTCCATTCTTGCAAAAGATGCCATAACCATTACAGTCCAGAGCAGACTTTACTGCTCTACACTTGTGAGTGTTTCTGTTTATTTTACCAGTCCTTTTGAAAAGGATATTACCCTATGTGCTTGTCTTTTCTCTCTTACTTATGAGATATCATATTGGATCATTAAGACAAGCAAAGTGGAATACTCCTCAGTGAGTAATAAGAAAAAGGTGATTGTATCACTATTTTGTGTGGTTTTAGATTTATATTTTTGCACAGTATTACACATTTTAGTGTGTTTTAGCACAGTGCACTTTGGGTAAAAATTATATTTTTACAACAACTGTTTTAACTCTTATGTAAATAACACTTTTAATATAAGGTATCTTTCCTGGCTAATCATGGCAGCATCACTTATGGGTAGGTCCTCCATTAGCAGTCACAGGACAGGAATTAATTAGATTAATTAATCAGACTGATAGGTACAAAGAGTCCCTACACCTCAGTCTTTTATTTCTGTCCTTAGCATGTTCTACAGGACTTTTTGCATTTGTTTTATGGCCACCTTCCTGCGTTTGTCGTGGGTTCGTTCCAAATAAAGTTCAGCCTCTCTTCATTTGAAGGACCCAGTAAAAAGCCTGCATGAGCAGGACTAACTGGGTCAGGTTCAGTGTAAGTACTGAACTACAGCGTGGGAAGTAAGTGTTTGAGGGAAACACTGTTTCTGTTTATTTGTGGGGTTGGTTAGCCTTAAAAATTCCCCTTGTTTTCAGCCTGCCCCTACTAATTGGGGTCATAAATCCCCCCCCATACCTTGATGGCAGTAATTTGAATCCATACTAATATAGGTGTTTAAAGTCTGGTGGTGTCATGGTGCCTTTTCTGTTCTGACTGTGTGTTCTGGAGCTGTGCAGGCTTCCCTACTCCCTGGGGCTCCCTGTGCGTCCGGGCATTGGGGGCTGGAACGCATTATGCATTCCAGCTGACAGGCTGGTGCTCGCGGCCGGATCCGGCGGAACCGGAAGTGAATTACATGCTGGTCGCGAGCGTTTGGAACGCATGGCGTGCTTTCCAGCACTCTGCGCATGCGCAAACCGGACGATCAGCTGTTCGCTTCCCGGATCTATTTAAAGCCACTGATACAGTTGCCTCTGCCTAAGCGCTGTATCAGCTGTTCCAGGTCTTGTGTTTCAAACCTGTATCCCAGCACTTTCTCATCTTGTCTGATATTGCCTGGCTGCCTGGTGGAATCTTTCTCTCATTAAGGTAGGATTGCTGTCTGTTTAAACTGCTGAGAAGTTTGCTTTTTGTCTGTTTGCCTTTTTCCTCCCTTTGGGAATTAGGTCTTGAATTTTCCTTTGGTTCTCTTTTGTAGTATGGATTCTCCCTCTGCCTCTGCAAGATCCCTCTCTAGAAAACATAGGTGAGCCATTTATATTTTTTATTTGGGGGGGTTGTTAAAAGAGTGCCATACTGAGCCTGTAATATATGTCATATATGGCTTTATTCCAGCCCCAGCATACATTTGGATTCCCCAGCGAGAAAATCAAGGGAAAAATCAAATAAATGCATTAATTGTTCGTCACCTGCTCCGAATGGAAGGAACCTTTGCAGGGAATGCTTATTGGAAGTCGCACACGCCCCCAGTAGGGGTTCCCCTCAAGACGACCTTAAACTCTGGATTTCCCAGGCTATTGCTGAGGGATTTAAGGCTACAACGGGGTCTAGTGGTCCGAGTAAGAGACGCAGAGCGGAACCTCAGTCTTCCAGTTCTGATGAAGACCCTGATGTGTGGGAGGTCTCGGATGATGGTGAGGAGGAAGCTGAATATGCCTCCAGGTCTCTTGACTCCACGTCTGTTGATAGACTTATTACCCTCCTTAGAGACACCCTTAGTCTGACGGAAGAAAGGTCTGAATTGAAAGATGCTGACAGGTTTTTTGAGGACCTAAAGCCAAATAGACCTACTTTCCCGGTACATTCATCAATCAGGGATATGATCCTTCAAGAATGGAATAAGCCAGAAAGGAAGTTCACCTTGAAAAATAAGTTCACAAGGGTTTATCCGTACTCTGCAGTGGACTGCTGTCTGTGGAATTCAGTTCCTAAAATTGACGCTGCGGTGATCCATATGGCAAAGAAAACTACGCTGCCTATTGACTCCATGGCATATCTCAGGGAGCCTATGGAAAAGCGTATGGATGGAGATCTGATAAAAGCCTATTTGGCCCTAGGGTCCGCCCTTCATCCGGCAGTGGCACTAACTACTCTCTCCAGAGCCTTGAAAGTGTGGCTCGCTAATCTGAAGGAAGACATTGATCGGGGTGTCCGTAGGGAACATCTGTTGGAGAGCCTCAAGGACTTTAGCCTGGCCACGGAATTCTGTTCGGAAGCCTCCCTGGACATCACTCGCATGATTGCCAAGAGTATGGCCCTGTCTGTGGCTTCTAGAAGGGCCTTGTGGCTTCATTTGTGGGGTGCTGACTATGCCTGTAAGGCTTCCCTGTGTGGCCTTCGGTTCCAAGGGGATCTCCTTTTTGGTAAGATTCTGGAAGATGCTATTCAAAAAGCTGCCGATGGAAAAAAGGCATTTTTACCTCAAGTAGGCAGGAAGAGTTTTCCCTCCTCCTGGAAGACCAAGTGCTTCAATGATCGGTCCTTTCGGAAAAGCAGGAGCTATAAACCAGGAAGGGAGTTTTCCAGGAATTCTTCATGGAAATCCTATTCGCACTCATCTTCCAATAAGGCTTCCAGAGGAAGGGGTGCTAGAACCTCAGGGAAGAACTTCTGAAGGTCTCCAGGCCCGTTCGGGGATGGTGGGAGGAAGACTGAAGTTCTTCTACCCCGTGTGGGCCAGCAATATTTCGGACGTATGGGTCACTTCCATCATAAAGGAAGGTTACAGAATAGAATTTTCCTCTTACCCAAAATCCGCATTCTTCAAAAAATCAAGGGTGGCGGTAGGCATCAAACGAAGGGCCATGAGGTCCTGCATTTCTACACTCCTGGAGCAGAAAGTGGTGGAAGAAGTTCCAAGACGAGAAAGGTTCAGGGGGATTTACTCCACAGTGTTCTTGGCCCCAAAACCACAGGGAAAGTGGCGTCTCATCTTAAACTTGAAAGGCGTAAACTCTATGCTCGATATAAGGACGTTCAAAATGGAATCCTTGAGGACCATCTTGAAGTGTGTCAAAAGAGGAGACTGGATGACCTCAATAGACTTGAGGGACGCCTACCATATCCCGATACATCAAGATCATGTGCAGTTTCTCAGGTTTTGGGCGCTAGGAAGGCACTTTCAGTTCCGGGGACTACCGTTTGGCCTCAGCCTGGCGCCAAGAATGTTCTCAAAAGTTCTGGTCACTTTAATAGCCTTTATAAGGGAGAAAGGTATCGAGATCTTCCATTACTTGGATGACATCCTTATTTTGGTTCCATCTCAAAGGATTGTAGCTCAGCATACGTCGGTGGCAATGTCCATTCTCCACGACCATGGTTGGCTTCTGAACATAGAGAAGAGCTCCCTCGTTCCTGCACAAACTATATTTTCCTGGGTGCAGTGGTGAACACCGTGTCTGCTCATGTGTTCCTGTCTCCAGAAAGGGTCACAAATATCAAAGACAAAGTACGGAAGCTACAAGATATCAAATCTGCATCGGCAAGATAAGTCATGAGTCTCCTGGGTTCCTTGACATCAACAATAGGGTTGGTGAAGTGGGCCCAGTGGAAGTTCCGTCCAGCCCAGAATTGCTTCCTTCTCCAGTTCGACAGGGTGGAAACAGATTGGGAGCAGAGGATCTCTCTTCCCCTGCCCGTAAGGAGGGGCTTAGACTGGTGGAAAAGCGAGAAGAATCTGACAACAGGTTTCCTGTTAGAAGAACCCCCTTGGAAGGTTATTACGACAGATGCCAGTTCTTTTGGATGGGGTGCTCACTTCAGTTCTGTATGGACTCAAGGGAAGTGGACCCGAGAAGAGAGTCGCCTACACTCAAATTTAAGGGAACTGAGAGCGGTTTCCAAGGCCATATTGAGGTTCCTGCCAAGGATCAAAAATTCTTGGGTACTAATCAAAACAGACAACCGAGTGGTGGCCTCATATGTGAACAACCAAGGTGGCACAAGAAGCAGGTTGCTCCTGGAAGAGCTAGCTCCCTTAATGACTATAGCCATGACCTATCTTCAAGGTCTGAAGGTGATCTATCTTCCAGGTTCGGAGAACGTGATGGCAGACTTCCTCAGCAGGGAGGAAATTCTTCCGGGAGAATGGCAACTTCACCCGACGATCTTTGCAGAAATTGCCCATCGGTGGGGCATGCCCCAGATCGACCTGATGGCATCCTTTCAGAATCATCAGGTGGAGAATTACTTCTCCCTCCACCCGGACTGTCAGGCACTGGGCCAAGATGCTCTCTCTCTTCCTTGGTCATTCGATCTGGGGTATGCTTTCCCTCCCCTACCCATGATACCCAGGTTCCTGCGGAAGGTTTGGTCGGAAGGCAAGAAAGTTATTGCCATAGTTCCAATTTGGCCTCGGAGGCCGTGGTTTCCCCTATTGACTATGATGAGTCAAGAATGGCCTTGGCCTCTTCCGGTGATGAAGGATCTGCTCACGCAGGGCCCAGTATTCCATCCTCATCCGGAACGCCTCAAATTGGGGGTATGGGTCTTGAAAAAGAAAGACTTCAACTGCTTGGTCTCTCGGATGCAGTGGTCAATACCCTTCTGCGATCTAGGAAAGCTTCTACTTCCTCATGCTACCATAGGATCTGGGATGTGTTCCGGGAATGGGCTTCATCCAACAATGTGGACTTTCTGCATCCTCGCAATACTGAGATCTTGGAGTTCCTGCAAGAGGGCCTGGATAAGGGCCTTAGCCTCAGCACTCTGAAAGTTCAGTCTTCGGCGCTTTCAGCTTTGTGCAACGTCTCATGGACTTCGGATCCTTTGATCTTCAAGGCGGCCTTCAGGTTGAGGCCTCCTTCCAGATCTACTACCCCTCCTTGGGACCTTCCTCTGGTGCTCAATTATCTCACTGAGGATCTGTTTGTTCCCCTTGAGAGTTTGGATGCTACGCTCCTGACGTATAAAACTTTGTTTTTAGTGGCAATTACTTCCGCAAGACGGATTTCAGAGATTAAAGCTTTTTCTACATCATCTTCTTGTCTACAATTCTATCAGGATAGGGTGTGTCTAAGACCAAAACCTGAGTTTCTTCCTAAGGTGGTTTCTCAGTTCCATCTCTCTCAAAAAGTGGTTCTTCCATCATTCTACCCCAACCCCTCTTCTCAAGAGGAGGTTAGATGTCAACGTTTGGATGTCATGAACTGCCTGTCTGCGTACCTTAAGTGCTCTGAGTCTTTCCGTAAAACTGACCAACTCTTTGTTTTGCCGTTGGGAGCCAGGAGAGGTGAGGCGGCTTCTTTATCCACATTAAAACATTGGATTTCACTGATAATTAGGAAGCATATATCTCTAAGGGTCGATCACCCCCACGGGAGATAAGAACTCATTCTACTAGAGCATTGTCAACTTCATGGGCTAATTGGGCAGAGGTTCCATACGATGATATTTGCAGAGCAGCCACCTGGTCTTGTCCGATGACGTTTCTGAAGCACTACAAACTAGATGTGGATTTGGGAAGAGTGTCCTGTCTACGGTTTCTTTATCCCGTTGATATTAAACTTTCTTTGCTGCATGTGAATCAGTTTGTGTAATTTCTTGGTTTATTATTCCCACCCTACAATTCTGGGAGCATGGGTATTACCCATAAGTGATGCTGCCATGATTAGCCAGGAATAGAGAAAATTTATGACAAACTTAACATAATTTTCTTTTCCTGGCTATTTCTCATGGCAGCATCAGGGTTCCCGCCCGTTCTTTTAGTTTCAGCTTTATAATTGGACTGAGGTGTAGGGGGAGGAGGGACTCTTTATACCTATCAGTCTGATTAATTAATCTAATTAATTCCTGTCCTTTGACTGCTAACGGAGGAGCTACCCATAAGTGATGCTGCCATGAGAAATAGCCAGGAAAAGAAAATTGCGGTAAGACACAGCGCACTTTGTTTGGTTTACAATCAGGATCAGCAACAAGTGGTTTCTAATACACAAGATGCTAATTATTGGAATAACAATAATATTCAAAGAATATTTAGTTCTACACTAACCTTTGTTCTTCTTTTTTGATGAAATGTTATACTTTTTATAGAGTTTGGATGAGAAAAGCACTGCTTTTAAACCAGACACTGAATGCATCTGACCAGTTGTTACAAATGTAGGTTCGTTGACCGTATTCCAACAGGAATTAGCCTTAGTAAATGTGAAAATGGCCATATTGGTCGGAATTCTGCCATGTTCGTATGATTATAACTCAGTGTTAAAGGACCACTATAGGCACCCAGACCACTTCAGCTTAATGAAGTGGTCTGGGTGCTAGGTCCATCTAGGTTTAACCCTGCCTGCTGTAAACATAGCAGTTTCTGAGACAGCCGCTAGAGGCGGGAGTGGGGCCATGAGGGTGGGGGGGACCTTGGCTTTTTTTTTTTGTGCATTCCTTAAGTCAAACGTGGTACATTAATAATTTAGTTAAGTTTAGTATACATGCGTTACATGAAACATTGCACTTTTTTTTTTTTTTTTAATAACAGGTATATTCTAGGCTAAATATCAGGAGGGCCTACTATGTGTCTGGTTACAAGCAAGATTGTTACCTACTTAGTACTTAAGATATCATATATGCTCTTAGTGGTAGAATCAAGGTGTGTGGAGTGTGCCCTGGCATATATGTGTGTGTTGTGCCACAACAGGATTTAGCATGTGTATTGTGCGTGCATAGTCGTGAGATCAGAGAGTAGTTCGGTGCTTTGCATTGAGGGGAGTACCCCTAACCAAGGGGGCGGCGGGGGGAATGGATGTGGTGTGAAAGGTACTTGCCCTGCTGGGTCTGTGAATCTAAATGCCCTTGAGCGGTATAACAGGTTGGGTTTGGTGATCCCAGGTGATAATATAACATTTTACATCATAGATTAGCCTGAAATGAGCGGCAACAAAAAGAAAAGAGAAAACGAGTGCATAAATAACCAAAAAGAAAACCTTGAGGTATCAAAGCATAACTGTAGCGTCTCTATAACTTTCAGGCCCATTGCCTGTGCAAGATGTGTGTACATCCGACCCGAGAGGCTCTGGCCCGTCTGCATAGTCATGTTGTGGCTGCCTGGGAGCTTCGGGCTCTTGGGACAAAGGGTACTACATGTTCAGGGTCCCATGTCTCTGAGGTATGGCCGGTGTCTGAGGTCCTCAGTCCAAGTGCCAGGAGAAAGGTGGGTGCTTCCTCCATTGATGAGATGGTGTGTGTGGCTCCGTTGTGTTTCACCATCAGGGATCTTCCTGTTCCCCATCTGTGGGCCATTCCTGCTGTTTGCAGGTGCCTTGTAACTGGACCAAGGGTTTTTCGCCATAGGAGTGTGCCTTTTGTTACGTCCTGGAAGAATGTAAGAGATGCGTCCTCGAAGGTCAGAGGTGTTCTTCCCCTGAGTGCCGACATGATTTGGGTTTTGTCAGGAACTGTTAGGCATCTGAGAATAACGTCTCGAGCACTGTTGGGTGGCAGTTTGGTGTTGCTGGGCAGGCGATATACCCCCTCTATGGACAGCTTTTTGGCCACAGCGTATGGTTGCCAGTAAGCGTCTTATGTAGTGGGGTAATTCCTCCCCTGAGATTGCCGTGGGTATTCCCCTTATCTTGATGTGAGTGCGGCGTTGCCTTCCTCTATGGCAGCAACCTGGGCTGTCAGGGCTCTTTGCTGGGTCCAGACCCGATGTACTGAGTCTTGTAGGGTGGACAGGTGGCCCTGTAGGTCAGATATGCTCTCTTCTGAGGCTTTCACCCGGTCTTTGATGGCTGTTACCTCCGTTCTGATGGGAGCAAGTTCCACTGCCAGCGTTTTCTGGATCTCCGCTAGTAAGATCTTTAGATCGTGTTTGGTGGTAGGGGTCGAGTCCGTGGGGGAAACCAGGGATGTTGCTGGTGTTGTCAGGGGGACCGGAGACTCCTCTAGCGTGTGTTGTTCGGGCGGGTGGGCATGCGTGGCGTTTCGCGGGTCTTCCGCGGGAGCGGGCTTTGGCTGTGTAGGCCTTTGCAGCATGGCTCCAATGTCCCTGGTTTCTGCTGCCGTGGTAGGCTTTTGGGAGCGTCGTCCCATAGCTGGCCTGTGGGTTAGAGGGAGGGATGTCGTGGGTGCAGGTTACGTGCCCGTTACCCTCTCTGTGGGTCTAGCCAGCAGTGCTTCCGGGTTTGGTATAGGCAGCGTGGGGTAGGCCCCTATTTTTTGCCTCCGTTTGGGCTGGTTGGGTGCCAAGAAAAATGGCATCGGGTGGTGATACAGGGTGATACAGGGTTTGTTGCTCAGTCCAGATGTCACCTTGAGATGGCTGGATGGGCTATTGTTAGATCGATTTTCAATGGATTTCGAATCTTTTTTTGGGAGCCGGCCAGAATGACGTCTGTTTCGTTCAGTGTGCAGGCTCCGCCCCCTGTCTTGGCTTTTTATAGAGATATCTACACAGATCGCAGGTATTAGTAATGGTGGTCAGAAGTTTAAAAACGTTTAGTATCTAATTAATAAAACTAACATTGATATTTAAACCCAATTTAGAGGGTTATTCACTAAACCTTACATTTTTGATAATTCAGAATGGAACAATTTAGGGAAAAATAGCTCATAGATAACATTCTCCAACTAAACCATAGTCATAGGTTGACTTATTTTTGCCATTCTCATTTAATTTGTGAAAAATACACTGTTAGGATTCATGTATACCCTTCTTACCCTTATAAAAAATTTACTTTCTCAAGTAAAAAAGAAATCACAAATATTTTATTTATTTAGTTGTAAAACACGATTTAAAACAAATAAAGCAAGGAAACATGCCATGCAATATGTTAGGTCTGATACAAAGTCTGATATTGAAGGATAAACACAGACATAAATGCTTCTGATAGGATCAGTTAATTGGTTACCGACTAGTTACATCAGACATATTAACATTGATAGTAATGTCACAATTAATTGTGCTTCATAACCTGCTTAAGGGTATGGTGTAGTCAATAAAGGCTTAAATTATTGTTCATTATGGGAGAAAAGGTTCACACAAGATTACGTACCTATTCTTAATTTGTTAGAGCAAACATATACCAATCAAATGAAAATCTGATCATTCTCGTCAAATGTTATCTAAACCAGAGTCAAAGCCAAACCTAAGAATAAGATTGATTAACTTTAGTGCGTTCAATACTAAATGGTCCAGTGAGGTTCACCCAAACTCAGCCTCCCACATAGAATCTAGGAATTTGGCAATCAAAGGGCTGAGCCTGGTGAAATAATTACTTTTCTTGAGAATGGTGAAAAACATGTTAGTACTCAATTTATGAATCCAGAAAGGTTATGCTAATCTAGAATTATGGGCTTTGTAAAACTATATACACAAATTGTCAAGTTATCATTTTTTTTTTCTCTTTTGTGATTGGTTGAGAGTGTCAGCTGACTGCTTGCATCCTATCACAGTGCCATTGCAGGTATGAATCTCTATGACTAAAAATAAGTGTGTAATTTCTGTCTTAGCCATACCTCCAATTGGGGATGGCACTATGGGTGTCCCTTTTGGAAGCAGAAACAGTGAGAGATGAGTGCAAATGAGATAAAATTAAATGTAAAGCAACAGAGAATAGGCGCTCACTACAAAAAAAATGCAAAGAAGGGCAGCAGTAAATCTGTGAGGATTCCCAAAACCTCACAAACAATACAGAAAATGGCACAGAGTGATAAACCGCTCCCAAAGGTGTGTGAAAGTGTACCACAATCTTGTGTTAATATAAATACATATATTAACATATTGTCAGGTCCCCTGCCCCCGCGCTGCTCGCGGTGACCTTGCTTACCTCATCACAGCGAGCGGCGTCATCTGGTCACACAGACTGACAGTGTGTCTGACGCTGCACGCTCCACAGCAGCTTCCTAATATGTGTGCTGCACCCGGTCATGTGACCAGCCACACAGTGATGACCTCAGAGACCACAAGGGAGGGAAACTCCCACGTGTTGTGGTTAACATTAATTGGAGAATCAGACACACCCTGTGTGTAAATAAGCTAACCTCTCCCTTGCCTCAGTGCCCTGTTGCCCTGTGCCAAAGTGTATAGAGGGCCAACTCACACTTTATTGAGCTACTAAGAGCTCTTTTGTTATTGGCCTGGACAATACTATCCCTGTCTGTAGATATATGTAACTCTGTTATACTTGTCGTCCAATATATATGGAGAAAATAAAGCAGAGAGAGAGGTCTTATGGTGTAGTATATCTATACACAAGATGAATTATTAAATAAGTGGTATCCTACTTACAATATACAGAGCAATGGCCTGCTCTGGTATAGTTAGCCTTGGAGGTATTATCCCCACCTGGGATATACAGGATAAACCAGGAAATGCGATGACAGCCCAGCCAGGTGAAACGTGTTAATTGTTGGTACTGGAAGGATTTCTTACTCTTATTCCCGATATTATTTTATTTATATATATATATATATATATATATATATATATATATATATATATATATATATATACACACACACACACACACATACACACACACACACACACTACTTTTACTATATATTAATAAAGTATATTTTAAAAGATCACCTTTTATTATTTTACTACTCCATTTTTCCTGTCATCGTATTTCCTGGTTTATCCTGCATATCCCAGGTGTGGATAATACCACCAAGGCTATCCATACCAGAGCAGGCAATTGCTCTGTATATTGTAAGTAGGATACCACTTATTTTATTTTTTATCTTGTGTATAGATAGACTACACCATAAGACCTCTCTCTGCTTTATTTTCTCCATATATATTGGACGACAAGTACAACAGAGCTACATATATCCACAGATGGGGATTGTACTGTCCAGGCGAATAACAGCAGAACTCTTAGTAGCTCAATAAAGTGTGAGTTGGCCCTTTATACACGTTCTAAAAAAAATGTTTTTAAATATTGTTACATATTGCACTATTTGTTGTCCCTCTTTTTTCTTTCAAGGTTATTAAAAGCTTCCAGATAAAATTAAATGTTTCAATTCTAGTTTCAAAACACTATAGTGGGCATTTATATGTAAAATTAAAATTAGACTTTAGCAAAGGTCACAACCAAAACTAGTTTTAGTGCCGGGCTGCCGTTAGAATGTTAACTTACATATTAAAAGTGGTCTAAGGTCCTTTTTAGTTTTTTAGGTTTAGGTATATTGTGCCTATCTGGATACAGGTCCACCCACTGTCAATCTGGCTCTTAAAGCTGTGGCTCTTAGACTGTCTCCATTGGTTTAAAGGAAGAGAATGCAGATCATATGCACGAGGTGTGTAAAATATTCAAAGACACACTGAATTCTGTACACGAATATAACTGTATGGAAACATTATAATAAAAGTATGATACTTTAACAGCAAACAGGATGGATTTACCTGTAAGGCTATTACTTAACCTTCGGTTAAGAAAATGTTCTGTTTAATCATAGAGATCTCAGTAAGTCTGACAACAGCTGAAGATTTTAACTTTTATCTAGAGAGGACAATGGGAGCATATCTGTTCTGAAGAGTCTTGGCCAATGCCTTCATTTCTGTGATCATGCAACTTATAAAGAGATAGTTTTGGCTGTAATACATTCTTTGAGATCAAGCATGCCACGAAAGAGGATCTAGGGCAGAATTAGGACCTGTGGACTCCAGATGTTTTGGACTACATCTCCCAAATACTCTTACAGTCATAATGCTAGAAAAGCATTATGGGAGATTTAGTCCACAGCATCTGGAGTGCTAAAGGGTTCCTACTCCTGATCTAGTGGCAAAGAAATGAAATCCTAGTGACCAATTCTTATCAGATTCATTACAGCCATGCCATCCATCTCTCCCAAGGAGAACAGACTAAACTTCCCTTTAATAGTCACAATATTATTATATATACAAATGTAAAATATCTTGCACTGCTTAACCTATATACCCTAAATGTAAAACAAATTAAAAGCATCATCTAATAAACGAGGCACATGGGCTGCAGCATGCCAAATTACTGTAAAATACTTATTAATTGTAACTATACAGAGTGAAGGACAAAACAAATGTAGCATAAGGAAGGACTCCACGGTTTCCTTGTCCACTAGTTATGTCTGTATCTGCAGTGTAAAGGACCATCCATCATCTCTTGTAGTAGTGCAGGTTGTGGCTATTTTGCATAGTCTATAAGCAGTGTATCAGGCATTTTAGGATGTTCTTATGAGAGGACCCCTTTCTTCCTCAGAACCCTAAATCATTTCAAAAGAAAAGACAGATGTATGTGTTAGAGTATCCTTATAAATAATGTCTTAACACTTGGCAATGCCCAGCTAACTAAGTCTTCATTCAAAAAAATAAAATAAATGATTAAACAATGCTCCAACCACAATAACAAATGTATAAAATATGCCCTTTACATGATGCAATTCTTATTCATTGGCAGTTTACAGACATTATTACTATGTAGATCAATAGACCCGAGACTTTGGTTTGGAAAGTAGCTGACAGAGCTTCAATTTATTTACGATTTATATAGAATACATAGAAATGGCTATTATAAATCCGCAAAATCAACTTAAATTATGTAATACCTGCCCCAGAAAGCCAGAGATGCCATTCTACCATTGTATGTCTGCAACTCATAGAAGACTGGAGCTCTGTTACTAAAACATCACAAGTGTGAGAATATAGAGTGGGTCACACGTGTGCGTTTAATTCATAGTGGATTCTATTGCATGTGGCAAGAAAAGATGGTGGTCATGTCAATAGCAAAAATATGAGCACAACAATGACCCTCATGCTTTTTTTACACACACATGGAACATGTGCACTATAGTATTCTAAACTTTAATTAGGTTTTGTTTCCTGGGCTAATTTCATATGGCAGACAGGTTAAGTAACCCAAAGAAAAATGTAGTGACCATAAGTTCTTTTTCTACGGTAACATGGAGGCTTTGGAGGTACTGGGGGAAGGTTACATAATCACCTTCAGTTTCCTCTCTTAACCACAACTGCAGTGAACTAGGCTGAAGAACAGACACAGACAACATTTACAATTGTTCTTATTGTTTGTTGACAGTCTCTTGCATTTGGTTTGGTCACAATGCAGGGGCCACAGATCCATACTCTTAAACACCCACACACTGATAAATATTTCAAGATGCTATAGAACACGCAGATCCATACTCCCAGATCCACAAACACACATTCTTATACATGTACAACTGCTATAATAAACCCATACCTTAACCATCATTATCACCAAATCTGATGCATTAAGCCGCCCCCTACACACACACACACACACATATTACAGCAACACAATCACAGATACACGTATAGGCAGATATTCATGGTTACACAAACACAAATATAGGCACATGCAGATACATACAGGGAAAAGCATGTAAGTGGCATCCTGAGGGATCTGTGAGAGACATTACTTCTCACTAAACTGTTCAATGAGGATCTGCCACACAGTGTGCGGTAGGAAAGCATGGATATGACATTCGCACATAACGCACAACTACTGTATAACGAAACCTCAGTGGAGGGTCCTTTGAGATGAAAGAGCCCTCCCTTTCAAGATTTGCTCAGAATTCCACATAGACTGTCCAACAAAGATATGCAAGATCAATGCTGGACACCTAAGAACCAGCCCTGCAGGCTGCAAAGAATGTAGATGGGGGCCAGTAAGGACCAGTGGGTGATAGTTGGAGACCTCTGTCTTAGAGCAATAACATGTATGGAAAAACCCAAAGCAACTACCGTAGTATCACTTTTATCCATGAGTACAGAATACAGACTACTGAGAATTATTGTATTTCCCAATATGATTATACACTGAACAAAATTATAAATGCAACACTTTTGGTTTTGCCCGCCTTTTTCATGAGCTGAACTCAAAGATCTAAGACTTTTGATCAGCATCTTGATTTGCCACACCCGTGAGGTGGATGGATTATCTCGGCAAAAGAGAAGTGCTCACTAACACAGATTTAGACAGATTTGTGAACAATATTTGGAGAAATAGGCCTTTTGTATACATATAAAAAGTCTTAGATCTTTGAGTTCAGCTCATGAAAAATAGGGGCAAAAACAAAAGTGTTGTGTTTATAATTTTGTTCAGTGTAGATATATGAAGATATATGTAAACATCAGCATTGCTGGTATGTCAGCCACTATGGTTATTCTCATACCTGTAAAATTATTTATTTGTTCATTATTTTAATTAGGCTTAGCACTATCATAGATTTTTTAAATAGATTTCAGTTCACCTGTACGTATTAGTGCCACATATTATTAATGACTCTTTCACTACTAAGAATAGGAAGAGGTCAGGTACACACTCAAGAAACAGGAAACATAAATGAAAATATTAAAATGATATTTTAAAACTGCTCTTTCAATACAACATGCCGATAGTATTTTGTAATTAGCACAAAAGGAGCTTATTCACTAAATTGTGTATTGAAATCCAAAATGCTAAATTCAGACAGAAAAAGCCAAGTTGCAAAAACTCTCCATCACAGTTACAGTCACTACTTGGATATTTTAGGCTAAAGTTTGTAATTCAGCTCTCGGAACACCACATTTTTCACTTCAGTAAATATATACTATTCCTTCTCACAATACAAGGGTCTATTTCCTCATCAGATACATGTGACAATAAGAGATGAAATGATAAAAAAAAAGTTTTCAATTCAGCTGGCTTCAGTTCACCTACACTTTGCAAACTGATTCACTCATCACAACTCCCGGCTTGGTGAATGAATCCCCCCATAGATTGCTAATAACTATAACTATAATGTATATAAAGAATGGAATTCATAGTTAATAGAATTAATAGAACAGTGGTCCTTACCTCTTCCCTGGCTCGGTTTGTTCGGCAAATCAGTACAATAAATATTATACCAAAAATAAGTCCAATCGCCATGATTATGAAGGGGATGTTGGATACTACTCTGGAAGTTAAGAGAATCTTTGACAGTTTCTCTGCAGATTTGTCATCAATCAGGACACTCTGTGGGCAAGAATAAAAACACATGCATGTAACTTTTAGACTCTAAGAAAACAAAATGGGGAGAGAAAAAGAGGAGTGCAAAAGAAGGAGAGCGAGCAGAGAAGAGTGGGAGGTGTTTCTAACGCACAGCGAAGAGATTGATTAGTCTTTATTACTGTATAGGATGATGTGTAGCATTAGCGCCTTATGTTATAAACAGAGTGTTTCAAAAAAATTTTTTTTTTTTAAATTAGGCCACTGTTTGAGAATATTTTGAAATCTACATTTTTCCAATAGTCTGCAACTCGGTTGCCACTTCACTAGGTGGTACTCTTTAGTTAAAAAAACCTAGTTTACCTGACAACATTCCCTGCCCACCTTCCGGGACAGAGGTGGGCAGGAAACAGAGTTGGCATTCAGTGGTGGGACTGCCCATCGAAAGGGGTAGCCCACCCCTATAGAGGGTGGTCAGGTTGACTGACAGCCTTTCCCTGCAAGCAGACCAGGCATGGAGGGTTGCTGAAGTCCTCTGGGAAAAGCCCTATTGCTCAGCTTCCTCCTACATTTGATGATCTGCTGGCAGACTTCAAAAGGCGGTATAGATCCCTAGGACCTATATTTGCTGGGAGAGTACCCAATATAGGACTGTTGGCAACTATGCGGATATGCTAAATACTGTGAGTACACTTCTGCTAGACAACTGTTGTGTCTTGTAACTATGTTTTCCATGTGGAAGCATTACTGGTGTCTTTGGGTAGTTTAATTTATGGGAATTCTTACCTCATTAAGATGCATCACAGGGAAATACAGAGTCTGTATGTTTTGTGTAACACTGAAAAAAAAAGGCAAATGTTTAATTGAGATACTTTACACTCTTCATTTTTCCACATTTCTGGACTGTTTTTAAAGAGACAAATCTTACACATGAGCTTCTGTTGAGTATTTGACATTGAAGGGCCTAGAAATATTTTACAATAAACATAAGTCAATGTTCTAATTGATGTAGCCAATTCAAGATACACACCAACTTTTTTCTTCTATGTCTTATTCTCTCACGCTACACTATGCCCTCTGTGTAGTATCAGAGAGTAACTTGGCTTCATAGTTTACTGCTGTACTATTTCAACAGTGGCCACCTTTAATCTTTTTTAAGGTCACATGATTACACATAAGTGTATATAATACTCACGCTTCATATCCTTCAATTTTTCTCACATGAACATTGATTTGAATTCGTTTAGCAGCTTGAATTAATAAACCAGTGAGCTAGAGAAAAAGATAAATAATATTTTAATACCATAAGCAGAATGACATTGGAAGTATATTTTCCATTTTGGTAAAAGACAGGACAGGTCTATGGCAATTTGAATATATGTGGTGGACAAATTGTTTTACTTTTTCTTTTTATGCAAATACAATTCACACCTCACATATGTTTGTGGAAAGTACTTACATTAAGATAGCCCCATTGCATGCAATATTTAAAGTGACCAATTCCTAAAATATATGTTTGCATATATACAGCTTGGGAGGCTGCATGTATACAGTAATGGATTTTGTGAAAACAATAGAATCCATTTAAATATTAGGGCCTGATGACCATCAGCTTAGCTCATAAAACTATTATATTCTGGACATACTAAATAATTCACTCTAGATGTTCTTCTGAGTTAAACATTTGATTATTATGAATCATCACCTAGAACCACACAAATGCTATCCAGGGGGGGGCTTGTATAATTCCTGTTGGAAAGAGGCTTACAAAGACTGTATGTACTCCCCTCCACTAAACCTAGCAACATTTATACACTGTACTTGGGCACAACATAGTAAATAAGTAAATATTCTTCACTTGTTCCTTTCCTGATGTAGCAAGATGCTGTTATCATTGGACCACTCTGACTGTACTGCTAGGTTGTAGTACCATGTGTCCTTCAGTTTAGCTTATCCCAAGGTGTGGCTCTCTGCCAGAAGACCATAACGCTACATAGTAATCAACTCCCTCATGTGTGACAAATTTTGCCATGCAGGTGTAGAGCTGATAGAAGCAACAGGGGGGCCGAGGCACCCATTATTTATGTCCCAACCTCCTCTGAGAGGTTTGCTCTATCAAGAAGCCTGTGAGATAGTGGCTCACAGCAGCTATGTTTATTAAAACTTGTAAATGGAGCTATGCAACAGTGTAACAGAAATTGTGGCAAGGTTTCTGTTAGATGGGAAAAGGTTTATGGAAGGCAGATGACACAAACTGCATAAAGTAATACAATGTGAGCAAGATATTACTGTTGTTTCAGAGGGATTTAGATAGACTGGGGGACTGGGCACTCATATGGCAGAGAATTTAATGCAGAGAAATGCAAAGTTATGCACTTCGGGGTAAAGAATGCACAAGCAACTTACACAAGCCCTAAATCAGGGCTTCCCAAACTTTAATGGGCCGAGACCCACTATTGAAAAAGGTAATTTTTTTTCAACACCCCACTCGCTTTTAATGCATATTTTAAAAATGAATAAACTTGGCACATCATGGCAGCTTTAGATGCATAAACTTGCCACACCATAGCAATCAGCTTTAGAGGCATACAATTGGCACACCATGGCAATCAGCTTTAGAGGCATAAAATTCACACATCATGGTAGCTTTAGAGGCATACAATTGGCACACCATGGCAATCAGTTTTAGAGGCATAGAGTTGGCACACCATGGAAATCAGTTTTAGAGGCATACAATTGGCACATAATGGCAGTTTTAGAGGCATAAAATTGGAACATAATGGCAATCAGTTTTAGAGGCATACAATTGGCACATCATGGTAATCAGTTTTAGAGGCATACAATTGGCACATCAGGATAATCCGCTTTAGAGGCATACAATTGGCACACACTGACAATCAGCTTTAGATGCATAACATTGGAACACCATGGAAATCAGTTTTAGATGCATAAAATTTGCACACCATGGCAATCAGCTGTAGTATGTGTGTGAATGTAGGCGTGTATTTGTGTGTAGTGTATACACTGAAACACAGAGACACACACACTGACACATGTGCAAATACACAGACAAATACCTAGATTGACACAGCAATACACACACAATGACACATTACACACAAACACACTCAGATACACACTAGCACACAATACACACACGGACACACAAATACACAGACACACACACTGACACAAAAGGACACACAGATACACAGACACACAGCGACAGGAGCTGAAGGTGATAGTGTGTGGGAGGGAGGTGATGGTGACTGTGGGGTAGGTGAGGGCGACAGTGTGGGAGGGTGACAGTGTGGGAAGGAGGTGAGGGTGACAGTGTGGGGGGAAGGTTGAGGGTGACAGAGTGGCGGGAAGGTTGAGGGTGACAGTGTGGGTGGGAAGGTTGAGGGTGACAGTGTGGGGAGAAAGGGTGGCAGTGTAGGGGGGAAGGTTAAGGGTGACAGTATGGTGGGAAGGGTGAGGGTGACAGTGTGGGGTGGGAGGGTGAGGTGAGGGCAACTGTGTGGAGGGGGAAGGTCTATTCACAAACAGGATTGAGGTGAGGGTAACTGTGTGGGGAGGGTAAGGGCGACAGTGTGCGGGGGAAGGTTGAGAGTGACAGTGTGAGGGGGAGGGTGATGGTGTAAGGGGGAGGGTGACAGTAAGGGGGAGGGTGACAGTATGTGGGAGGTGAGGGTTACTGTGTGGGGGGCAAGTTTGAGAGTGACTTTGTGAGGGGGAGGGTGACAGTATGTAAGAGGTTTGGGAAACTCTTTGGGAAACCCTGCCCTAAATGGTAGTGAATTAAACATAACAACACACAAGAAGGAGTTAAGAATTGTTAAAGACAACAAACTAGGCAACAATGTGCAATGTCAATCTGTAGTGGCTAAAGCCAGTAAGGTATTGCCATGTATTTAAAAAGGGCATTAATTCTCAGGATGAGAATATAATTTTGCCTCTTTATAAATCACTAGTAAGACCACATCTTGAATATGCTGTGCATATAAAAGGAATGAAACATTTTAGTTATGAAGAAAGATTAACAAATTTAAACCTCTTTAATTTAGAAAAACGGCGACTCAGAGGGGATATGATAACATTATACAAATATATCTGAGGCCAATACAAACCATTGTCTGGAAATCTATTCACAAACAGGACTATAAATAGGACACAAGATCATGTGTTTAGACTGGAAGAAAGGAGATTTAACCTAAGGTAAATTAAAGGTTTTTTTTTTTTTTTACTAAGAACAATAAGGATGTGGAATTCTCTGCCTGAGGAATTGGTTTTTATCAGAGTCTGTTTAAACAGCAATGCATACTTGCGAAAACATTTTCAATTATATAATTTTATTTATTTTAATTGTAGGGTAATAGCTTCTTGATCCAAAGATAAATTTGACTACCATTCAGGGGTCAAGAAATATTTTTTTCCTAGTTTGTTGCAAAATTGGAAGTGCTTTAAAATGGGTCTTTTGCCTTCTTTTGGATTAACGGTCTAGATGAAAATGCTTGTTCTTGGGTAGAACATTGGCTAAAAAACAGAGTACAAAGAGTTGTTATTAATGGAAAATTTTCAAGCTGGACAGAGGTGGCAAGTGGTGTCCCTATGGGGTCTGTTCTGGGACCCCTTCTATTTAACATTTTTATAAATGATCTTGAAAACAGCATTGAAAGTCATGTTTCAGTGTTTGCAGTTGACACAAAACTCTGTAAAGTAATACAATGTGAGCAAGATATTACTTTGCTGCAGAGGGATTTAGATAGACTGGGGGACTGGGCACTCAAATGGCAGATGAAATTTAATGTTGAAAAATGCAAAGTTATGCACTTCGGCGTAAAGAATACACAAGCAACGTATACCCTTAATGGAGGCGAATTAGGGATAACAACACATGAAAAGGACTTGGGAATTGTTATAGACAACAAACTATGCAACAATGTGCAATGTCAATCAGCAGTGGCCAAGGCCAGTAAGGTATTGTCATGCATGAAAAAGGGCATTCATTCTCGGGACGAGAATATAATTTTGCCTCTTTATAAATCACTGGTAAAACCACATATTGAATATGCTGTGCAATTTTGGACACCTGTTCTAAAGAAGGATATTATGGCACTAGAAAAAGTGCAGAGGCGGGCTACAAAATTAATAAAAGGAATGGAATATATCAGCTATGAAGAAAGGTTAACACATTTAAACCTATTTAGTTTAGAAAAACATCGCCTGAGAGGGGATATGATAACATTATGCAAATATATTCAGGGCCAATACAAACCATTGTGTGGAAATCTATTCACAAACCGGACTTTACATAGGACACAAGGTAATGCGTTTAGACTGGAAGAAAGAAGATTTCGTCTAAGGCAAAGGAAAGGTTTTTTTACTGTAAGAACAATAAGGATGTGGCATTCTCTGCCTGAAGTAGTGGTTTTTATCAGAGTCCATACTGATGTTCAAACAGCTACTAGATGCATACTTGCAAAAACAGAATATTCAAAGATATAATCTTTCAATGTAGGGTAATAACTGCTTGATCCAATGATAAATCTGACTGCCATTCTTGGGTCAAGAAGGAATTTTTTTCCTAGCTTGTTGCAAAATTGTGCTTCAAACTGGGTTTTTTGCCTTCTTTTGGATCAACAGCAAAAAACAAATGTGAGGAAGGCTGAACTTGATGGACGTAAGTCTCTTTTCAGCTATGAAACTATGTAACAGCAAAAAACAGATGTGAGGAAGGCTGAACTTGAGGAACACATGTGACTATGTAACTAAGAATTATTCTCAGTGCACCCATTACAAACAGGAGGACTAGGATTGGTGGAGAATTCTCAGCAACTTGCAGTAAAAGTAAAAGATGGCCCAGCAACAAGTGGAGGACTCGTCGTCCATGGAGGAACCCTCCCTAGATACCTTGGATGATATCCCCACTACTGCATTTTCCTCGGACGAGGAAGCCAACACTCCAGCCACCAAGAGCAATATCAAAATGCTACATCTGTGCTATGTTCAAGGCAGACTTATTGATCCTGCGTGAAGACATGTTTACGCTCACAGGGAGGATTAAAATCACAGAAGAGTACTCCTCACAACTTAACGCTGGGCAGACCTCAATTACTGCTGAAGATCAATCTGTCCCAATCGAATATGGCGCACTGGCTAGCAGAATACAAAGGTCTCAGCTGCCGTAAAAATATTAAAATCAGGATTACCCTCATACAGTAGATCAGACGAAGCTGACATATTTTCTGAGATGCCTGTTACAACACTTCCTCACTACCTCACAAGCAGGCTAAACGCATACTCATAGACAACTTCTACAAGATCTGCACGCAGGGCCGGCCATCACAGCAGACATCCAGAGATGTTATAGTACAGTTTGTCACACATCTAGACAAGATGGCAGTTATGGCGGAGATCAGAAAGTCACCCACTTTGGCCTTTGAGCAACACACTCTGACATTTTACACCGACCTGTCTAGTCCTTCCATGCTATGGAGGCAGTTAATGCACTCTGTCACTGGAGTACTACAGGGCAAAAATATTCCATATCACTGGGGCAAACCACGCTTCCTACATGTTAATGGATATGACAATCCACAAGCTTTATTCTCCAACAGAAGGTCATAACTTCTATTTTACACTGGGCTTACTTCCACCAGCAGATAATTTAAGGGACAGGCCTCAGAATATTATAATATATATAATGGAATGTGGAGAACATCACCCCAATCAAGCTGCTGGAAGGTCCTTCTACCTCTGCTGTGGGCCCGGTCAACTGAATCAACAGAAATGTATCCATCTGGCATTCCTTTTGTGTTGTGCCCCTCTGGCCCATTCTCTATAGATGTTATTGCTTAAGTTTCTGTTCTTATTGTGGCAATGTATGTCACATCCTTAGGCTTGTTAGTTGCTGCATGAATAGTCAGGATGCACGCCATTATCCCAGGCTTGATACATGCTACAAGTCGTAGATTTGCAATTCACCGAGCCACTGCATTTGTAGAACTAATTTGTTATAGGTTTCCTTTTGATACTTTTTATTTTCTTATATGTAACTGCAACTACTCAGACACAATAAAGGGATATCACTCCACCCTCTAGGATGCCCTCAAGATAGACGTGGTGTTGGTTGACATCATGGCCACAGTGGCCTCGAGACAGGGCTGCATATTCCCTGTCTACACAGGTTATAGCGCTACCCATGTCTGGGATAATGGCAGGCCTCCCATTCAGCTTCTGCGGTAGTCACCTCACTGATTGCCTTGACAGCGAATACGTTGGTCATATTCTCCCCACATTATAGTCAGCATTATACTTTTTCACTCCCCCCTTCTAAATATCAGCTTGCTCATACCACAGACACTGGAGCCACATTGCTTGAGCATGTACCACAGCTCAGAGAAGTTCTCTCTAGAATTCTCCCAATGGCCCCAGAGCGATGCATTATTTCATATACAAATGCTTTTTATTAGCCTAGGACATGTTCTGTTATCGCATGTTTTCTATTGTTGGTTATTGCCTGTGCACAATGCACTTAGTTACTAAAAACAAAATGCAAACAAAATGTGGATTACAAATACCTAAATATTTCACTTACTGATGTATGCTTAATTCCACAACAAAAATAAAGAATTGAAAAAAAAAAGTAGAAAATGCGTAATGTTAAATCTAATGCGAGCATATACTTATTTAAATTATTTCTATTTTGCTTGATTTTCTTTAAATTGCATTATCTAGAAAATACATTTACATTGGAATGAACTGGAGCTGGAGTGTTCCCTTTAAATTTAAAATTCGGACAATGTGTTGATGAAAAATTTAAAACAACATTTGAGTGAAGGCCAAATTGAGTGCAACCTTTAGTTAACATAGTTTTGAGGTGGGAGGAAATTAGGGAAGGAAATAGCGTGACTTTGTGAAAAGGACATACCAGGCTTTGTTATTAATCATTTCTATACCTTATGACAATAAGTCAGAAAAAGGGGGTGAAAGTTTATTATTACTGCAAAACACTTCCTTTCAAAGGAGCCCCATAACCTTTCTTCCATGGAATTTAAAAGCACAGTTATGAAAGGAATATTTTCCATCCCACTTCACCCTAACCCCACTCCGCCTCCCCAAAAAATGGAAATATTTAAGATTAAAGGAATAAGAATATACCAGGGACCTTTCTGGCTTTCACTTGGCGTATAATAGTATGCATTCTTCTTCAAGCAGAGTGCAATGTATCCAATTTCCTCCTTGCCCAAAAACAAGAAACCCAGCTGACTTCAGTACAGACGACCATCCATTTCTGAATCCCAGTAGGTGGGATTGCACTTTTTTCCCTCACATCCACCCTCTTCCTTCCCCCACATGGAGAGATTCCTGGGCAAATATACATAACTGTGTCTTTTTTTTATTGCTGATCATGTGGGAAAATGCATGAATAGAAATATGTAGACCATAGGTGAAGCTGTGCGGGGCCAACCTTTGGTTGTGCCTCCCTTTCCACCAAAATTGTCCCCATCTCTTATTCTTTCTTACACTCATCGCCTATACAAAATGTCCATATCCCGGGGGCGGGGCCTGATAGCCAAGATGGCCGGACGTGATTTTGGAAAGCTCCAGCACCAGCAGACACAATCCCACTAATCCTGTCCAAACAACAGAAGCCAGAAACTTAAGGAGCTTGGAATGTGACATAGGACCTAGCAGGGAACAAAATGATACCTGTCCCGCGCCGATCTGCACCACAAAAGCCTGAACCGGCCATGCAGCCTAAAACGAAGCAGAGCCTGCAGCATGGGGGAGGCGGCCGATCACCCGGCAAGGGACCTGCTCACAAACGAGAAGCACGCAATGCCCTGTTGCCCCCCCCCCCCCGGACCGGCGGGGGTTATCCCGGTCCTCGCTGGGGACGATCACCCCCAATCAAGCGACAAAGCCCACAGACAGGCAGAAATGCCAGGGCCTAACCAAGATGGCGGCTGGGATGGGGAGAACCCACATTAAGCCACCAACACATACTCTAGAGTTCTTTGACCGGCTTGGCGCTAGCCTCTGGACAGAACTCCATACCAAAGGCCGGATCTTTACGCTAGCGTTGAAACAAGCAGCGTCATGGATTCGCCCTACAATCCGACGCCAACTATGCAGACACCCGCCCGGGCACCAGCACCCGCTCGAGCACACACCAATGGGGGACCACCCACCTCGCCGGACCCGCTCACCACCCTACGGTGTCTGAAACCACCGACCATCAGGCAGAACTTGCCACCTCCCAGGCTCACGCTCACGAAGGTGGGAGCATTCAGAGCGGCGAACACCCCACATGGGCTTTGGAAAGGACCCGACGAGAGAGAACAGAAAAAGCCACTGCCCACCACGTTAACCGGGAGGCTACCAAAACTCACCCCCCAAACGATACACAGAGAATCAGCAGGGGCACTGGGACTGTACCCACAATGGGCTCACGTCCCCTGGCCTGAGCAGCACCCACACAACTCCAACGGCCCCACAGAGCAGGCGTTGGCTGATTACAGACCACCCTGGGGACTAAGACCTACATACCCCATATGAGCAAGGGGGAAGGTTTCCGGTGCTGCAACACGAACTCCCAATCCGCTGATTTTTACCGACCTGCTTCACACCTCACAGGGACGACGGTCGCCATCACCTGCACGGCTGTTGTGCATAACCCTGGACTGCCGAGGACTCTTTCTCATGCAGATAAGCAAAGCTACCAGGGATTCTTATGTTAAATTTATGTTACAATATGTTTTAAGTCGTTTAAACCCTGGTTACTGTATTACATTACCTAACAAACGTTGACTTTGGTGAAAGCTTGAAAGCTAGTCATGGTCAATATTAAGTTTAATATTTCAGCTAAGATAACTAACAGAAATGAATACGCTAAGTATACGCCTCAATAACCTTAACCTTGTCTAGTAAATCTGTCTCTGTGCTAATGCACACTTATCGAGGTCTCTATCATTACCTGTAATATGCCTGTCTCTACAGCATAAGCCCAGTTTGCTAGCATATACACTAAAATCGTACCTCTCACATGGAAATAATCTATCCAGTTCTAGCATGTTACTAATTACCACAGTTAATGCATGAACCAAACATGTTTGCATAATATGTATAACTACATGTAAATCGATACTTTAAAGCTATGTTTCTTAAGCCTGATAAAATAAAAAATTGTGCCAGTTAAAAATACACCCCGCATGCTCGCGTGGGAAAAGCCTGAGGATTGCCTTCAGGGTACCTCAAGCCTGTCTGTAATATATGCGTGCACTACAAAAAAAAAGAATTAAAAAAAATATTTTTTCCATATCCCCATCACTCCTCCACCAAACTGTCCATGTCTTTTTTCCAATAGCGACAAAATTAAAGAATAAACAAATTATCCAAGTAGTCTGTGCAAGTAACCCCACAACAAGTAAATTAGAATGGAGGGAGGGATCAATTTAATAATGTGAATGGGAGGGAGGGTTTCACCTTGCAGGCGTGCCACCAGCACTGCCTGAAAGTGAAGACGATGATTACATCTCCTGCCAGTGCAAACTGAGAGCTGACCCCAGACATACTTTTTTGCACAGAATTGATATTAGGCAGCCCAGGACAGAGTTCCAGGCTGACCACATCTCTGAGACAGGGGTGTAACTGGCCCCTGGCTCAAAGGTGCAGATATCGCTGTACGTGCAACATTTCAAGAAGAAACGCTGCATATACAGATTCCTTGCTCCATGACCACTTCTAAAAGCAGGAGTGGGCAGAGGTTTTTAAGTATATTTACTTACAACCTTGATGCTCTCAGCCATTCCAATACTTCCCGATAGAAAAGCATTGGGAGGCTAGTGTGCATGTATGGCAAATCAACACACTGCACCAATCAAATAATAATTAGGATAAAGATATTCCAGAATTTGTGATATGTATGATACTCTTGTACATCTACCACTGCATGTATAAACACATAGAATATGAGGTTTAACTGATAAGAATTGAATAGTAATTAATTGAAAAATACATTACTAAATGTAGGAAATAGTTGGTTATTCACCAATTTAGCTATCTCAAATTCCACTATAGTTACAGCTTCTAATTAGGATCCATGGGGCCCCGGTGCGAAAATTGATCCGTGGGCCCCCCTGGCGCTTACTCTGTGCGGGCCGAGGCTGCTACACATGGCGGCGGGCACCTGGTCGCGGGGCTGCGACCCCTGCAACCGTGGTGCATGATACACATACACTTAAAGGACCACTATGGGCACTCAGATCACTTCAGCTCAATGAAGTGAGCTGAGTCCCTACCTTTGGGAGTGCTGAGGGGATTCCCTGGGGTCCAGTGGGGCTGCCCTGCAGCCGGTCCTGCAGGCGGCAAGGGACCACTCTTCCCTGAGCGCTCTCTGCCCAGCTCCCTCATGCACCGCTTACTGATGCAGGAGCCGGAATTATGTCATATTCCGGCTCCGGCATCAGTGCAGTGCGCAAGGGAGCTGGGCAGAGAGCGCTCAGAGGAGAGTGCTCCCTCGCGCACCCGCCATCCTGCTGGCAAAGTGACGCCACTGCCAGGAGACGAGGCTGGCAAAATATGGCCACATTGGCATACATACCGGGTTGCCACCCCCAGGAGAAGAGGCTGGCAAAATGTGGCCACACTGGTGTACATACCGGGTCGCAGGGTGGCCGGGCCCGGTCGCAGCCGCGACCCCTGTGACCGCAGTATGTACGCCAGTGGTCACAGTATGGATGTTTCAGCCTAACTCTTGCAGTTTGGTTTTTAATTCACTACAATTTTGTTTTTCGCAAAATAAAAATTAGTATTTCTTTTATGGAAAAATGTATTATTGAGGCTCTCCATTGGAAGGGTTGCCAGGAGAAAGCCTCTTCTCTCTAAAGAGACAGCACGTCTTAGGTTTGCAAAGTTGCAACTGAACAAACCACAAGACATCTGGAAAAATGTCCTTAGGATAGACAAGACCAAAGTGGAGATGTTTGGCCATGATGCACACCACCACCTCATACCAACTGTCAAGTACAGTGGTGGAGGGTTAATGATTTGGGCTTGTTTTGCAACCACAGGACCTGGGAACCTTGCAGTCATTGAGTCAAACATGAACGCTTCTGTATACCAAAGTATTCTAGAGCCAAATGTGAGGCCATCTGTTCGACAGCTTAAACTTGACTGAAATTAGGTCATGCAACAGGACAATGACCCCTAGCACACCAGCAAATCTACAACAGAATGGCTTAAAAAGAAAAGAATCAAAGTGTTGCAATGGCCTAGTCAAAGTCCAGACTTCAATCCAATTGAAATGCTGTGGCGGGAACTTAAGAGAGCTGTGCAAAAACAAATGCCAGCAAGCCTCAATGAATTGAATCAACATTGTAAAGAAGGGTGCATCGAAATAGTTGCACAAGGATGTGAGACACTGATAAAGTCTTACAGGAAATGATTACTTCACGTTATTGCTGCTAAAGGTGATTCTACAAGCTGTTGAATCATAAGTTGTACTTAGATTTTTCACACATGGCTTCTTCATTTTGGCTTTATTTGTTGTTAAATAAATCATGTGTTGTTCATCTGAGGTTGTATTTACCTAATTTTAGGACCTGCTAAGAAACAAATGATTGTGTCTTGATATTTAAAATCATATACATAGATAGAAAGATAGATAGATAGATAGCGTATTGCATCTTGTCTACTGGACTAATACGGCTAATCCAATCTACACATATATATATATATATATTAGTGTAGATGTGTGTATGTGTAGATATATATATTAGTGTAGATGTGTGTATTTGTATATATATTAGTGTAGATGTGTGTATTTGTACATACATGCAAACGAACATCTCAAGTATCTAACATCTTGCCTTTATATTAGATAATAATAAAGACTGATGCATTGAAAATAATTGAGTTTTAAAGATACAAAAAAGAAAACAAATGAACTATAACTGAATTATAGTGGTTCCCAAAATATCAGTCGAGGCTTGATGAAGGGGTAAAATTGTCATAAATCAAATATATTTCTACCAACATTATCAACAGGGGGACATCACCAGAAACAATGCAATCCCACCTCAGTAATGAAACGTTAGGGGAAAAACAAAACAAAAAAAACACTATCTACTATTGGGAAGACACAAGAAAATGACAAAACTAAATATCTCTCTGAATAATGGTCCTAAGGATACCATACAAAACAAACAAAAAATTATCAGTAAAACAACTGCACACGAGACCAGGAGCTGATATAACCAAATGACACAATAATACGTATATATTTATTTTTTTAAACTTGATAAATGCAGGAAAAATCAAGTCCCAATAGCAAGTTTTAAAACAGTAAGGCTAATGAAATACTGATCCATTGTGTAGCAAGCTGTGCCTAGTGCTACACAATGAATTTCATTGTAGCTAAAATAAAAGCACATTGCTGTTCAACATTCTACTGGTAGTATTCTGTGAATCACTATAAAAAATGGTACAGAGGTTCCCAAAACATAAAAATTCGCTTCTAACCACAAATTAGGTAGTGAAACAAGGTATCAGTCTCGAAACTTCTTAGCATGAGCATTTGAAAAGTGGAAAACCACATACCATAGTGTTCTCTGTTAAAACACTATACTTTATTTGAAATAGATTAAAAACACTCAGATTTGCCAAGAGACTAAATTGCCTCCAATGACACACTCTTCACATAAAATGTTTCTGCAAACTAAAACTTTAGGGGTCTAGATTGTGTCTAGAATCCTGTGGCACAGATAGCATAATATCTAAATTATGTACACGGCAAATCCCGGAAAATTAAAATAGCTGTATGTTGTCGTTATATATAGAAGTATGATGTAGTTGTATACAGAACTATACAGTATACAGGAGGTATTTTACTTCTATGTCTGCTATCCAACTTCGTATGTATAACTTGGACAGACGCCTCTTCTGTCTCTAGCTTCAATTACTAAAGCAGGATATACGGAATCATTAAAGCAAGATATATGATAGTCAAAGGAATATTTATTCAGCTTTAACCCGGCAAGTCAAAGAAAAATATAAAGTGTGGTTCTCCCATTTGTTTGTGATGTACTATCATGTTTGGCAACTATAGCAGGCTATAGCTTTATTGTACTTTTACCTTTGACTGTGTTACTCATACTGCTTTTATTGGGTGCTGTTAAGCTTATTATTGGCATCATATTACTTATCTAGCCTATACTGCATGCACCTGCTGAACATTATCAAAATGTTATCTACAGATTGGAGTCACCAAAATAATGATGCAGAGTTGTTATGGTGTATACACATGATCCTTTAAATAGGACAACTTACCTTTTGTATGGTAGCAGGTCTAAAAATACATGGTTACAATGCAATAGAAAGAGGCAGAGTGTGCATGGTGGCAAATGGAGCTTTGGTACCTAGTCAAATCACCATACGTTAATCATTCATTGTGTGTAATATCATTGAAATTGGTTCATTAATAAAAGTTTTTGGCTCCTCAAACCCTACTCTGAATTTTGGCACACACTGTATACAGTAGAATATAATGTCGATATTACACAATCTTACCGGATTGATATCCAAAAACGTTTCATCATTCTCTTTCTTGGGATTCATGCCGTTTATACTCTTAACGATACTTTCATCAGCTTGGTAAAAATGTGGGGACGAAAGTATAATTGGAGCACCTGTTAAAAGAAGTAGACACTGGTTCTATTTGAGGTCTTTTTCTCCAGGTCTGACTTTTACAAAGTCAATTATATTACATATAAAGACAAAAAACAAAACAATAACATCTGAAGAGACTAGTGTTATAGGCTTTTAGGACAGTATCCTTCCTCACAGATCTCAGTATACCAATACCTTATTTGTCACCCCCTAATGCTTATTTTTAGTATTTTTAGCATATGTTATTTTCATCTTCTCATTAGTTAAGAGCTAGAATTCAATATTTTCCTTATTGAAGTCAACCCCACCGTCACAACGCATGATCAGCTTTTACTCATAGCAAATCAACAATGTCATCCAACATACGCAGTGCCTAAAATCATTTGTCATTAAGGCTTATCTTTATAGGTATCTTCACCCCTGCAGCATTTATTAATAAAATATTGCAGTCTTCCAATTATTGTACAACATTACACCAGCACTGTCAGGAGTCACGGCAGCAAACTTACCAACAATGTTTTATGTTTTTACATGTGAGTTTGTTTTGGCATTTTATTAAAAGGCTTTTATATTTTTAATGTTACACTATGTGTACGTTTCCTTTTATTGGAGGTTTTAACTCCTGATAGTCTGATGGATATTCCTGCTGAATCAATACAGAAGTTTGTGTTATCTCACCTCATACTGCTGACACCTGTACCTCCATTTTAGGTTTACTGGTCATTCATTACACAAATGTAAAGAAGCAGTATTTTTCTGTAGAGCTGCAAATTTGGGAAGTATTTGTATAGCAAGATGTGTAGTGAGTGTTTATTTTCATATATTTTTCCAGGTTGGCAGCAAAGCCGACAAAGCCACAACTGTAAGTACTGCATGGTGTTTCTCCCACAGCAAGTAGTTCCACTTTGCATAGAAAAAGAAAAGACCAAATCCCAAATCATGTAACACAGAGACACTTCCTGATCAGAGTGGCAATGTTTCACCCCCAGGAATGGGCCTTTATCTGGGGCTGGAAAAGTCACTCTGTGATCCGGATTAAAATGTCTATGTTTTGGTTTTTTTTTTTGTGTTTCTGGTATTTTCTTTTGTTATCAGGGATTTGGGGGTGATCTACTGATGGTTTGGTACCGGGCGAGAAATCTTAAAATGATATGTGTGCCAGTTCTGCTTTGCATCCCATGAATCAGAACACAATCAGCTGCCCAGAATAGTTTGCCTTTGCATGAAGTCATCGTAAGGATCAAAACAATTGTTAAACTCATTTCAAACCACCATCAGAAGAGTAAAACATGTCTATGCTACATTTGTAGCCATTAGAAAAGGGAATGTTTCTGCATATATAAAAGGTTGAAAACTCAAGCAGTATTTACCCCTTTTCCCCATCTAATGATAAAGCATCACTCCCTACAGATTTGCAGTTATTAACACCCTTCACTAAGGGTATTGCATATACACAATTACCATAGAACCATTCTCCAGAATTGTGTATACACAATTTTTAAGATTGTAAGCAAAGTATCTTTAATGCATACAAATGTAATTTGCAATATGCCCCTTTTTAGGGTCCCAGTCAGCAGAGTTGGTGCTAAAATTATAGCGCAAGCTCTGCTGTTCACTGATGTAACCTAACAAGGCTGAAATGATCGTCTGCGGTTGCTGAATCTCTGATGTAGAGGAAGTCAGCTTGCATTTTGGATTTGTATTGCCCCTGTGCGTGGGTTCAGCTTGATAGGCAATGGTTTAGATTCTCTCTGTAATGGAACAAGATTAGCTAAAATCTGCATGTGAACTAAGCAGAGACCCACCGAAGGGCAAGTTATTTGAGCTGTTGTCCGTGCTCAGTATTGTCTTGCATACTGTTTACTCTCCCTATGGTAAACTAGCCATGGACCCATTGCTCACTGTGCCTGGAACGGTATCAGTTGTGCCTCACTGAGGAGGAATAACAAGGTTGAAATTTCATCTGAAATTTCTGTATCCCTTACTTCGCACACAAAACACAGCATAGCCATTTACACAAAACACAAATCAAGGTCACAAGCAGCCACCCCACGCACATATATTCCCAGACACAGAGACATACATTCATACCCACACTATCAGGCACATACATAAGTACCTAGTGCCAGACTCAAAGATAGAGTCAGTCAAAAAAGCACACAGCCAGATATACCATTAGACAAACACTGTGACTGTATGTCGGCCAAGTCTTTGTGTGTCAGTGTGTGTATGTATGCCCATAGTTTGTATATGTGTGCATGTATCAGTGTATATACTCCATTATGAGTCAAACCTGTTCAGAACAAATACACTTGTTACCTGGGGTCCACTCCCTGCCTCCACTATTTCCCACAGAGAAGTAGAAGTTCTCTACTAAGTGGTGCAAGGCTTAGCTCAGTGGCTGAGAGTAATCAGCTTCTAGCTCCTTATAGGAGCTTTATAGGCGCCCAGCAGATGCCAGATAAGAAGTCATTCTAACATGGTTTAACAATTGGGAGGAGGGCATACTGTTATGGTTATGGTGACTGGCGGTTTCCCTTAACTTTAGTTTCACTGTCTGTGTGAAAAACTAGTTTGAACTATAATATGTTAGACTTTTTACCCAATGGGTTAAAACATCATCATATTTTCTGTTAAGCAATATCATACCTTGCTTGCATTTGCTGACATTTAGTAGGCCAGATGGAAGGCAATTGCCTGCTGGTACACAGAAACCTGCATTATCAGGATTCACAGACACATTGGCAAATGTATTCTGGGAAGGAGCAAATCGATACACTGGGATATCTTTCACCGTTCTGCTACTTTCATAAACTGTGGGCAATGTTCTGAAAAAGAGAAGGTGATCTCATATACCATCCAGTTGTAATACTAAATGTGATTTCAAATACTGTGTAACCGTAATACTAAAGGTGAACTAAAAAACTATCCAAATATTTTACTAAGGGAGAACTCAAGCATCATTCAACTGTAAACTAAAGGGGAGCTAAACTATCATCCTATTCAAGACCAGAGTTACATCTCAGCCTATAGCCTATAAAATATCCTGTTCTCTGTTTACTTCATGATTTGGATGAACAATAGAATTATAGAAAAAATGCACATTTGAATGCTCAAATTCTGCTATTTAAAATGTTATGTTAATCAATGAAAGAATGTGAGTTAATTCTGTTACATACAGGGAGTGCAGAATTATTAGGCAAATGAGTATTTTGACCACATCATCCTCTTTATGCATGTTGTCTTACTCCAAGCTGTATAGGCTCGAAAGCCTACTACCAATTAAGCATATTAGGTGATGTGCATCTCTGTAATGAGAATGGGTGTGGTCTAATGACATCAACACCCTATATCAGGTGTGCATAATTATTAGGCAACTTCCTTTCCTTTAGGAAAATGGGTCAAAAGAAGGACTTGACAGGCTCAGAAAAGTCAAAAATAGTGAGATATCTTGCAGAGGGATGCAGCACTCTTAAAATTGCAAAGCTTCTGAAGCATGATCATCGAACAATCAAGCGTTTCATTCAAAATAGTCAACAGGGTCGCAAGAAGCGTGTGGAAAAACCAAGGCGCAAAATAACTGCCCATGAACTGAGAAAAGTCAAGCGTGCAGCTGCCACGATGCCACTTGCCACCAGTTTGGCCATATTTCAGAGCTGCAACATCACTGGAGTGCCCAAAAGCACAAGGTGTGCAATACTCAGAGACATGGCCAAGGTAAGAAAGGCTGAAAGACGACCACCACTGAACAAGACACACAAGCTGAAACGTCAAGACTGGGCCAAGAAATATCTCAAGACTGATTTTTCTAAGGTTTTATGGACTGATGAAATGAGAGTGAGTCTTGATGGCCCAGATGGATGGGCCCGTGGCTGGATTGGTAAAGGGCAGAGAACTCCAGTCCGACTCAGACGCCAGCAAAGTGGAGGTGGAGTACTGGTTTGGGCTGGTATCATCAAAGATGAGCTTGTGGGGCCTTTTCGGGTTGAGGATGGAGTCAAGCTCAACTCCCAGTCCTACTGCCAGTTCCTGGAAGACACCTTCTTCAAGCAGTGGTACAGGAAGAAGTCTGCATCCTTCAAGAAAAACATGATTTTCATGCAGGACAATGCTCCATCACACGCGTCCAAGTACTCCACAGCGTGGCTGGCAAGAAAGGGTATAAAAGAAGAAAATCTAATGACATGGCCTCCTTGTTCACCTGATCTGAACCCCATTGAGAACCTGTGATCCATCATCAAATGTGAGATTTACAAGGAGGGAAAACAGTACACCTCTCTGAACAGTGTCTGGGAGGCTGTGGTTGCTGCTGCACGCAATGTTGATGGTGAACAGATCAAAACACTGACAGAATCCATGGATGGCAGGCTTTTGAGTGTCCTTGCAAAGAAAGGTGGCTATATTGGTCACTGATTTGTTTTTGTTTTGTTTTGAATGTCAGAAATGTATATTTGTGAATGTTGAGATGTTATATTGGTTTCACTGGTAATAATAAATAATTGAAATGGGTATATATTTGTTTTTTGTTAAGTTGCCTAATAATTATGCACAGTAATAGTCACCTGCACACACAGATATCCCCCTAACATAGCTAAAACTAAAAACAAACTAAAAACTACTTCCAAAAATATTCAGCTTTGATATTAATGAGTTTTTTGGGTTCATTGAGAACATGGTTGTTGTTCAATAATAAAATTAATCCTCAAAAATACAACTTGCCTAATAATTCTGCACTCCCTGTATGACCTGCTCTTATCTGATTATGTACTCAAATATTTTTCTACAAATGTTTTTCTGATAAATAACAATATGCACATGGCTTTACATTAAAATTTCTATTTGCATTACAAAAAAAAAAGTTTTTTAAAAAAATGCACATTTGTGTCAGGATAGGAGCACAAAATAAATTGCACATAGGGTACCAAAGTCTCACAGGTTCTTCTAGCCTGCACAGCTGTACTAATGCAGAAGATTATACTTCCACATTAGTATACCAATTTTGTATGATGTTGGACATTATTCATTGGCTGAGAGGGTCAGTTCACAATGAATCCTATAACAATGGGACATTTATGAATAGAGTTGGGCCAAGTTACACTTACATTACAGAAACAAATGCTTCACTTTAATATTGTATTTTTAAGCCTTCCAAATGGCTGTAATATGTTGATAGTTTTTTTTTTTTAATATTGATATGTTTTTTAAATATGCTATTTTAATATTTTTGGCTTATTCTGGCTACTAGTAAATCCAATCTTTAAACAGTTATAAGTGCCTAGCAATGTATGTATCTGTTATACTTTCTATATATGGTGGATTATACCTGGAAGCTGCCTCTAAATCTCCATACAAGTTCTAGGGATTATAAGATTGAAGTCTGGAAAGTCCAAGTCATTGGATTGAGTTGTCCTTAACACTAGTACATCATAGGAATTTGATTCGTGCTCTGACAATCTTTATGCTTTGTACACTGTAATATTTAGGTCAAATTTTTTTGCATCCTTTTTGTTCTCAAACAAAGTAATTGAAGCCAAAACCAAGTACACAACGCTCCCTACCTGCACAGGTCTGATGAAAATATGTAAATAGTATCATCTTTGTCTACCAGTGAATGAAAGGAGGTACCATCTGTTCCATTAATCATATTACACGTGTCAGATGTCCACCACTCAAGCGATCTGATAAACAGTAAAGAAAAAAAAATCATAATGTTAAAGGAGGGCATGACAAAGTAGGAATGGCCCAATCCCACCTAATCCAACCTTTGCATGTAAAAAATAGACTACTGCATGTAATAACTCATCTATGTGTATTCATTTAGAATGCTCACACATAATTTAGAATTATCTCCTGGCTTACCCTTGCACTGTAAGAGTGCAGCTCTAAATATGCTTTGACAAATAAACACAATATCTACACCAGTGGTCACCAACCCAGTCCTGGATGTATGCATTTCCCTTTTTTATTCAAATGGGTATACTGGTGGTCCATGAGGACTGGGTTGGAGACCACAGATCTACACAAACAAATATACAGAGCAGTACTGTCTAAGCTACACGGCAAACCACGGCTATGCTATTTAGAGTCTAAACTTTAGACAATACTGCACTATATAGTTTTTAGATTTGTTCTGTAGATATTGTGTTTATGTGTTGCACTGGGTAAGATATGATGAGTATTTTTGTCTACAGATAAAGTGTTAAAAGGGTAATTTTCTTTGTTTCTTTGCACTACTTGTCCACTGGTTTACAAGTGTTGCAAAACAACACACCACTTGAATGATCATGTTTAGAGTTACCTGGTGTTTGGACATTATGTCAGCATTTGTGACCATGCACTAGCTTTCAGTGAACTGCATTGTCTATGGCCATTAGTCATTCTGACCAAAGTTGGCTAATGATGATGTGCTTTTTAGGCACAGGTAAGCCAGGAGAATCACTTAAATTATAGTTTTTCTTGAAGGCAACATCTTTACCACTGGACTCTAAACAAAGATGAAAGATGCTATACTCTTACTTGCTTCCTCTCCATTCCAGAATCTGGGTAAATTCCATGTAGTCTGCTGACCCACTCAGATATTCATATTTACCATCACCTGTGGCGTTCATCTGTTATTTAAAAAAAAAAAGTACAATTGTCTTTTGAAATTTGGTGGTTCTGTCCCCTACCTCTAAAAATAATAATAAAGAAATTGAAAATGTATCTAAATATATACACATACATACATACACACACACACACACACACACACACATACATACAAAAATAGAGATAGAGACACACACACACACAGATAGAAATACAGAGAGATAGAGATAGACACACACACACACACACACACACACACAGATAGAGATAGATAGATAGATAGACATAAATATATATGTGTGTATGACGCATGTACCGATTCCTGATGGGAATGGCTGTAATGCTGCTCATCAATACACAGTGCAATCATGATCAAAATTATTTACCTATGTGGTGAGTGGATCCATTGTGGTATTTACTGAGAGACAGTAACATATTTGTTACCTGACATCTAGTAACAAAGTAGAGATTTATATCTAACAGTATAGAAAAGAAATAAGTTGAAAAAGAACTAAGAACAGTAAATATGCTTACAGCTTACCTGGTAGAACAGACCAAAATCTTCACTAATATTTTGATATATGGCATGAATTATAGCAAGAACTGGGTCCCTGTAGCCCCACAGCAAATCGTGAACCGAACGAGTGATGAACATTCCCTCTTTTGTACTTCTGAGTGCCGCTTCAAATATTTTCTTTATTATAGAGAGACTATCTTTGGACTTTTCCATTATTGTCTAATGTAAAAAGGGGGAAGAGATGAATAAAGAACAAATATTACCACGGCTCAGTGGAAGCCATAGCACAGTCCAGTTCATTAAGCAGAGATTTAAAACATACAGGGTCATTTTTAATTATACAAACCATTTAGGCGTACTGCTGTCCTATAAGTATATCTTTCTAGTAGCAATATAAATAAAACATCCATTAAGAAATAAATCTGAATTCTCATTTATACTTAAATGGGTATTGTCTGATTTAACCCATTACTCTTAAAGGGGAAAATATAATCACCACAGCTAAGTATAGTGGTTATGCTGCCAGATGTCTATGGGTAACATCCTTTTTCTTTTACAAGTTGTCTGGGACTGGTATCACAAACAAATGAGTCTCTCTCTGGCACCCAGAGACTGCCCCTCTTCACTGATCTTGATACTGTGGAAATTACACGTCCACATTATCACTATAAATTCTGTTCAACCCAGAAGTTAATGATAAGCTGGGCATCCTGGGGCAGGTTATCCCTCTATTCCAGTGTACTAAATCAAACACATTCAGAAAAGTCACTAGATTGTGAGTTGTGAAGAACTTGCCCTTGTTTACATGTGTGGATGTGCCTTCCTAGAATGTATGTTTCCCCTTTTTAATCTTCGCCTCTCTGTAGCTTTGACTATAAATCCTTCAAAACACCTTTTTGAACGTTTACTTAGAATGTTCACACCTCGCTAACGAGGTGTGAAAACCGCAGACCGCTAGGGAACGAGTGGCGCGTGCTTCCCCTGGGTGGCCGTCAGTTCGCATAAACGAACGCCCACGATGGGGAGCATTCATCTCGAGAAAAGTGCCGGACCACCTTGAAACTCCATTTAGAACGTTTACTTAGAATGTTCACACCTCACTAACGAGGTGTGAAAACCGCAGACTGCCAGGGAACGAGCGGCGCGTACTTTCCCTGGGTGGCCATTGGTTCATATCACCGAACATCCACCAGGGGGAGCATTCGAATCCCAAACCAGCCTGCGTACACTGTCTTCGATCCTGGTGCCAGGGATAGCTAACGGAGCTATAATCACTTGTCACCCTCAAACCTGGGAGCTACGAGGCTAGGCTCATTGATGCCCAGGCAAACGCCCTCTCCTGTGGATACCTAAGTGTGGGATCCACCGGAGAGAGGGACGCGCACCAGCAGGGAATCTCTGGAGCTGTGAGTCGTCTCGCAGCTGCAGGCCTCCGCTCACTGCGTGGAAGTCCGTGCTGACCAATGGGAGAAGGAGCGCCCATTCAAACTGGGTTCGCGCCATTCTCCTGGTTGGTCGGCACAAGTGAGCACTGATTGGTCACTGCAGGACGTCGGCGACCAATGAGAGCGGCAGCACCCGTTGAAACAGGGTTTCGCTCCCTTTCCACTGTTTGGGCGGCGAAGCCCCTCTCATCCCTGAGCACTGATTGCTGCAGCCGAGTTTCGAGCCCTTTCTTCGGATTGGGCAGCAAAACTTCTTCCTCCCCCGAATGCTGATTGGCTCAATTTGGTTCGCGCCCTTCCGGCTGATTGGTTGCTGCTTGGTTTAGGCGTGAAGATTGAATTCGCCGGGCTAAACCAAGCAAGACCATAGAACTAATTCTGGGGATGTACAAAGCCTCAAGCCCCAGACTTTCAACGCTGATATCTCGGGCTCTGTACATCCAATCGCCTCGCTTTTTGCAGGGATCTTAGGTGGGACTCAGGGCTATTCATCACTATAAGTTTTAACCCTGTACCCCCTTCCCATCCCCCTTGTATGTAATGTGTATTCATGTGTGTCCCTGTGTTCTGTTAGTATCGGGAGATGGTGATCTGTCACTCTGCCCCCTCCTGCTTGGGTTAAATGGGTCTGACCTATGATTATCAAAGAGAGTAACCAGCCGGGTTACCCAGGTCGCGCTACAATACTGAATCAGCAAAAATTTTTACTTTGCTATTTTAGCCTAAAATGTTAAATATCCTTGTCACTTATGTCCCAATTAATGAAGAACCCCAATGCAATTCTAATCTAATTGGCTCGACAAAGTATAAATGAACATGCTATATGTTTGAGGTTCCTCTTATTCGAACGTCTCTCAGCGCAACTTACCACAACAGGAATATTCAGTGTTCGGATCAGGTCTGTTTGAGGATTTCCCACAGACTTGTCAGATTCAAATATGTAGGTTTTTGGATTAACCGCTGACACGGTAGTGCCATTTTCATGAAACACAATATTTTCTCTGATTCGATATTCCCTAATAGGAGCAAAATAAATGTAAACTAATATAAGAATGTATTGATATAATCAATAAAATAATAGTGTTGAGAATTTCAATCGAATAGCAGTAGAGACTTACAGTTGAAAAACATCTAAAGACAGCAGTAATTATTTTATATCTCAGACCATTATGTCTCTGAGTTACTTTAAAGGGTTACGCCAACCACCATGACTACTTCTGCTTGTAGAAGTGGTCATGGTGTTAGCAATCTGTAGGTCAATTCTGTGCATATTGATGCTGGTAACAGATGTAAAAATATTCCCCCTTGCATTTAAAGCACCTACAAGGGGGAGATAGCGGTCTTCTCCCTCTCACCCTACAATTTAATTAATTTTATATATATATATTGAAAATAAGCGAGGGCTTCCCAACTGTTTGAATGAATAAAACTTTAAACAGCCATACAAATCAGTAGAATTGTTTCTGTATATATTTACCTATAAGTATAAGGGCCAACTTCTTGAAGAACTGGTGCCTCCCCAGATAGAACCTCCAATGGGTTAGAGACATTATAAAAGTAGAATTGCATGTATATGGGAGGTGGCGGGTTGACCCACTCCTCATAGACTTCTGTTCCATTTTTTAGGACCGTGGCCTGAAAGAAAAAGGTTCCTGTGAGAGCTTCTTGAAAATAAATAAATGCTTTCAGTAATCAGTAAAATGGATATTGAAAAACCACAGAAACCCATGGATTCTAAAATGTTATAACCCTCCCTTAAAGAGAACCTGTGGTCACTTACTTTGGGTTTCGCTCTCCCTCTGTGATCACTCCTCCCAAGTCCACCCACTCTCCTCCTTCGGCAATCACTGATTTGCTCTGCTTGAGGACACTTTCCCAAGCAGGGCAAACCTCCTCAATGACACCTGCCCTGCAGTGAACACGGGCCAGTGTTTGGCAGGCATGTGTACTACTATTATTTGTTGTATTTTGTGAATGTAATCAATAGTAAAATCATTAGGAGAAAAGAAAAAGCCTAAAATCTGCAATAGGAAATAAAGTGGCGCAAAGGTGCAGTAACAGTTTTATACATAAGAAAATTGCCCATGTGCAGAAAACTGGTACAAAAGTGAATGTGAATGCAACAGTTTTTTTTATTAGAGATAAACCCTTATGTGCAGATAAACCTTTTGCCCAGAACATATGCAAGGAATATAAGCTGCTTGGAGTTTCCTTAAATATAGCAATAGGTGTGTGCAGCCCATTTCATTAGGGTTTGCATCCAGGAATTCTTCCACTTTTCGATTTTATAGAATGTTAATATTTATTAACATGTAGAAACAGTGTAGAACAGTTTGATAATTACTTACTGGAGTCTCGCCAAGAACGGAGTCCTGCTGTGAAGGACTGTCTCAGAGTTTAAGCTAATCGGTGTCAACTAATGAGCACCTTCAGCTAATGAGTGCAACCCTGCATGGTCAGGCCTGGCTCAGTGACAGAGGTGTCCAATAGTTCTTAAGTGGTATAGCTGCTTAATCGGGGAGGGCACTAGGCTACTACTAGCACCATTAACACTAAAGCAGGCTGTGGTGATTATAGTATTTGTAGTGTTCATTTAAAAATATGCCTGTGTGTGGGGTGACTGTATGCATCAATAAGTAGTGTGTGGGTTTATGGGCGCGGGGACTGTTCCATCCTACCTACAATTTAAAATACATGTAAAAAAATATATATGTTTTTGCCCCATTGCTTACCTTGGACAAGGGGGCAAATCATACGATCCCTGGTAGCCCAGTGGGTTAATGTCTGGTCCCTGGTGGTCCGGTGTGAGGAATTTTTGGTCTGCATCTCTGGTGGGTGCAGATTATTGTAAATGTTCCTCTTGATCCAGTGCCACAAGGGAGTATTTAAAGAGAACTGCATCCACCCAAAGTGCAGCCTACAGGCTCCCTTGTTGAAACCAGGAAACACAGACCTGGCGGTCAAGGAGCTCTTTTCTCTTTTAAGAAGTTTGACAAAGAAGCACTCACTGGATTAACAAAGGAAGCCTATGTCATTTCAGTGGCCCTGAAGGGCTAACAGCAAACCAGCAAAAAGTCCAATCCTCCTATACTCCAGTGTTCAGAGTCTATCACTGCACAACGTCACCATTTTGGACAGATAATGAAGAAATTAAAATTTTTCATTATGATGTCTCAGGCACTGAGCTTTGGATGCTGGAGAATCCGGTTAAAACAATTTAACAAATAACAATGGGACTGCACACAAATCCTCCTTGGTTATGGTGTCAGGAGTATAACTTTGAAATATGCTCCTAACACTGAATTCTACAACAGTAAGTGCTGAGTGAAAGAACAGGTGTATCCTGTATAGCAGGAGTAAGCTTCTAGCAGCACTGTTCCAATACAAGACTCTGAAGTCCCTTGGCATGCTGGTCCTATTTTTTTTTTAGTTTTTATTCATTTTGTGTATGTTGCCATGTTATGTATCGGTGCTGCAGCTGCTATGTGGGTTCTGTTATACGTTGTATATGTGCAAGCAATGTTTTGTATTTGTTGCACCCCTCCAATGCACACTGCGAGGGTACAGTTACACATTGCCACATACACTGCTGAACTCACACACAATGGTTCACACACACACACTGCTAGAGACAAACTGTAGGACACACACTAATACAACCATACATGACAATGATGTCAAGTTTAGCAAAAATCCTTTTTGCTTACTATTTAGCAGCAGGAGAGGGACTCCCCTGGAATTCAGTGGGGACACGGCTGGCCAGGCACATGGCAAGGGAACATGTTTCAGCCGGCTGCTCTCCTTCTGCATGGTTTCTCCTTCATAACTGCTAAAAGGAAGTGATCTGAAATCAGTTCCTCCCAGCCAGGGCCAGCCCGTCCATTGACTCCAGGCAGCACACTGACAGGGGCAGCATTTTGCCACCCCTGTCATCACCTAAAACAAGAATTTCCAACCCGTAGCGATGGTGCAGCTGCAGCGCACGGATTGGGAACCTGTGTGAAGGTCTATCAGGTGGCCCTGGACATGTGCAATGAGGAGCCTGGACATTCGCTGTGGCGTTTAAACAGCGCGACTGGGCCACTTCTATCCGCAGGGAAAGCTGGGAGGAAGTGACATGCGGGAGGAGGAGGGAGCCGTGAGGATGGGGCTGGACCAGGAGAGCAGGCCCCCAACTCCCACCAGCCACAGCCAGCAGAAGGTAAGACACTGCTGAGTGGCTCAATTTTTTAATGAGTGTATCCCAGGGCCAGATTAAGAGCTCAGTGGGCCTGGTGCTGACAATTATGAGGGGCCGAAGTACAGAATCTTATCGACCAAAAACACTAAAACAGTTATACCTCTCAAGCGTTATGTATCTGGTGGAGATGTTGCCGGAGGGAAAGTCATAGGATGCAGCTATAAGAAAACTCAGATTCTCTTAAAATATGCTAATCTCTCTCTATTCATGCTTTCATCTTTCAAGTAAATCCATACCACCTAACAGCAGTGTTCCCTAGAATACTAAGGGACACTGAGACACTTGGGGACACAGACACTGGGTGACATGTGGAGACATAGGGACACTAGGGACACTGGGAGACATGGGGACACCGAGACACTAGGAGACATGGGAACACAGACACTAGGGACACTGGGAGACATGGGAACACTGAGATACTAGGGACACTGAGACACTGGGAGACATAGGGACACAGACACCAGGGACACTGGCTGGGAGACATGGGGACACTGAGACACTTGGGGACATTGTGTCACTAGTGTCTCAGTGTCCCCATGTCTCCCAATGTCCCTAGTGTCTGTGTGCGCATGTCTCCCAGTGTCCCTAGTGTCTCAGTGTTCCCATGTCTCCTAGTGTCTCAGTGTCCCCATGTTTCCCAATGTCCCCATGTGTCTCAGTGTCCCCAGGTGTCTGTAACCTCATGTCTCCCAGCGTCCCCCCGTGTCTCAGTTTTTCCATGTCTCAGTGTCCCCAAGTGTCCCAATGTGTGTCTGTGTCCCTGTGTCTCCAAGTGTCTCAGCATCCCCAGAGGTCTCCCTGTGTCCCCATGTCTCACAGTGTCTCCTAGTGTCTTAGTGTCCCCATGTCTCCCTGCAGCCTTCACCCCATCCCTCACTTCCCTGAGCTGTAGGCTGTCTCTGCAGGCTTGGAGCTGCTGTCTGGACTCTCTGTGCTGTGTAGCTGCTCCCCAGCGAATCAGTGAGTAGAGTGATGCAGGTATATGCTGTAATTTCCTATCCCTGCCTCTCTTACTCGCCGGTGATGGTATTGCAGAGTAAAAATATCGGCATTTGTATTGCCGGTAACACTGCAATATCAGTACGGGCCAGGCAGTCTCAAATGAATATCGGGCAGGTGGCAACCCTAAGGGTAGTGTGTAAAAGAAAAAATTTGTACATTTTTTAAATTTATTTTTTAAAAAGATCAATGGGCATAGTCCATGGGCCTGGAGCTGCAGCTCCATCAGCCCCTATGTTAATCCAGCCCTGCTGTATCCGTGTGTTTCTGTGTGTAGTGTATGTTTCTGTGCATAAGTATCTGTGTGTTTGTGTGTATCCATGTGTAGTGTATGTAACTGTGTGTTTGTGTGTAGTGTGTGTATCTGTCTGTGTAATGTGTGTATCTGTCTATGTGTATCTGTGTGTAGTTTGTGTATCTGTATTTGTATAGTGTGTGTATCTGTATGTGTGTAATGATCAGTGATCAACTGCTAGCAGGAGAGGCACTAATAAAACAAATATTGGATGATAGTCCAATATTCCATTTGTGTTGTACACATGAAGACTGTGATTCAGCAGACAATCACAGGGACCACTGGAACAGGAATGCTTGAGTTGATAGATCTTGCCATCCTTTTCAGTGATCAGACAGCAAAGGCCCCACTTGAAAGTATGTGTTTTTTTCTATAAGGAGCCTGGTAAAAGGACAAAAGGATTAATGCCACAGCACTCTGTTCCTGGATAGATTGGTAGGTTCGGCATCTACAGAGGGATAAGGAGTGGCCAAGGCCGCAAGGAGATATGACACGTGAGAACTGAGTGTGGGTGCACCAAAGGCAAGCTATTTGAGTTGCTTTCCATCCTTAGAGTCCTTGTCTGCTATGTTTTGGTTGCTTTTATGTCACATTTGGAACATAACTCTTTTGCATACCTGCCCTAGAACGAGTGTAAGCCAGAGGCACTCAGCAAGTTATGTGGCATCAACAACAGATTTTGTTATGCAGTGCCGGTGTGTATATGTGAATGCATGAGGTGATGTAAGCAGATAGGTGGGCAGTGTGAATATAAATCTACGGGTATACTGGTGTGTTCATCAATGTGTTTCGTATCTGAGTATTTGTGAGGATGCTGGTGTGTGACTATTTTTTTAAAAACATTTTTTAAGGTTACCCTTATGTCTTCCACTTCTTTATCTTCCATGCACCGGTCTTTCTCCCCCAACACAAGTTACACCCTCTATCATACCCTTCTTGTGCCTCTAACTGTTATCCATCCCCCCTGCCTGTGTCTCTTTGTAGACTCCATGACAACTTATTATATTCACCCTATTCTATGTCCACTTGAGTGTTTGTCTCAAATGTGGGTATCCATCCTTTTCACTTCCCTCGGCCACATTGAGCGCAGACGAATTGTCTTGGGCCACACATCAAATATATAATATAGATTATAGATGATGTACATAGTAATATATCTTTAAAAGCCCTTTCCTTAATTTTGATATTTCAATTGTTTAGTATAAAACTCCCTGATTTGTTATCCTTGTATGGGATTGGCATATTTAAGTACATCAGATTAGGGAGCTATCTACTAAACACATACACATGTATATACGTATGCACATTTAACCACAGATACACAAACACACACACAATCACAGACCTATACACAGTCACAAATCTATACACACATAATCACCGACACACATACAATCACAGAACTATACGCACAATCACAAATACACACACACACACAATCACAGACCCACACGCACATACAATCATATACCTATACACACAGTCACATACATACATACACACACACACAATCACAGAACCCCACACACACATACACAGATATACAACAGTAGTATGCAATATAAAAAAAAGCACCTTCTAACCCCTCCTTCTACAAAACACCTGTCCCCTCTACAAAAAACCTGTGCCCAGTCCCCCTTCTAAAAAAAACCCTGCCCAATCCAACTTCTACAACCCCCTCACCTTCTACAAAACCCCTGCCCAGTACCCCCTTCTACAAATCCCCTGCCCCCTTCACAAAATCACTGCCCCTATCCCTCTACAAAATCCCTGCTTCTACAAAATCCCGGCCAACTGCGCGAGGGAGCAGTGAGGAACAGGAAGGAGATCTCCCCACACCAGCTCCCAAAAGTAGGGAACAATAAATTAAATGATGTGAGTGCAAGAATGTTTAAATGTGTGTCTGTGTCTGTGTGTGTGTGTGTGTGTGTCTGTCAGTGACTGTAGAGGGGAGGGCAGGGTTTATTTAGAGGGGGGCAGGGATTTTTTTGTAGAGGGGGACTAGGCAGGTGATTTTGTAGAGGGGGACTGGGCAAGTGATTTTGTGGAGGGGCAGGGATTTTGTAGAAGGTGGGGGGTTGTAGAAGTGGGACTGAGCAGGGGATTTTGTAGAGGGGAGACTGGGCAGTGGTTTTTCAGACACACACACACACACACACATAGAACCACAGACAGAAATGGGATACGGCTGTACAATCTATAGAGGGAACATATAAAGGAAAAAACACACAATAGTGTAACACAATAAATACAGTAAATGGTGCGCTTTAAATGGATGCACACACACAGACACACATATACACACACACACATACACAGAGACACACACATACTCACTGACAGACACACACACACACACACAGAGACACACACATACTCACTGACAGACACACACACACAAACACACATACTCACACACAGACACACATTTAAACATTCTTGCACTCACATCATTTAATTTATTGTTCCCTACTTTTGGGAGCTGGTGTGGGGAGATCTCCTTCCTGTTCCTCACTTCTCCCTCGCGCAGTTTAGTGATGCCGGAATATGACGTCATATTCCGGCACCCGGCTTCACTACAGACGGCGCGCGAGAGAGCAGTGAGGAGCAGGAACACTGAGCTCCCTCGCTGGTCCTCCTCCCCGGCTGGGTAAGTGTTAGCAGAGTAGGCAAGTGAGGAACAGGAAGGAGATCTCCCCACACCAGCTCCCAAAAGTAGGGAACAATAAATTAAATGATGTGAGTGCAAGAATGTTTAAATGTGTGTCTGTGTGTGAGTATGTGTGTTTGTGTGTGTGTGTCTGTCAGTGAGTATGTGTGTGTCTGTGTGTGTGTGTGTCTGTTAGTAAGTATGTGTGTGTCTCTGTGTATGTGTGTGTGTGTATATGTGTGTCTGTGTGTGTGTGTGTGTCTGAAAAACCACTGCCCAGTCTCCCCTCTACAAAATCCCCTGCCCAGTCCCACTTCTACAACCCCCCACCTTCTACAAAATCCCTGCCCCTCCACAAAATCACTTGCCCAGTCCCCCTCTACAAAATCACCAGCCTAGTCCCCCTCTACAAAAAAAATCCCTGCCCCCCTCTAAATAAAACCTGCCCTCCCCTCTACAGTCACTGACAGACACACACACACACACAGACACACATTTAAACATTCTTGCACTCACATCATTTAATTTATTGTTCCCTACTTTTGGGAGCTGGTGTGGGGAGATCTCCTTCCTGTTCCTCACTTCTCCCTCACGCAGTTTAGTGATGCCGGAATATGACGTCATATTCCGGCACCCGGCTTCACTACAGACGGCGCGCGAGGGAGCAGTGAGGAGCAGGAACACTGAGCTCCCTCGCTGGTCCTCCTCCCCGGCCGGGTAAGTGTTAGCAGAGTAGGCACCTGCTATAACACCAGCATGTACTGGCGTCTCGCCGGGCCGCAAAGATGGTCCTGAGTTTGGCATGCTTGCTCTAAACCTACTATATCCTATTGTATCTGTATGTTTGTCAAACTAGGCTTTATTCGTAGCTTCCAGCACTGGAGAATATTTTCATTCTATATTTTCATGCTACACAAGTAGATACAGTAATAATCAACAGAAGATGGCAATTACAACCATTTATAGCAAAGTAGCCAGGCACAGAGAGACAAAGCAGGCCATTCACTAAACTCTGGGTTGTAACAAATTAAAGTTTGAATGAAGAAAAAAAAATATGGAAAAAATCCTCTAACTCGGCTCTAGTCACAGAATGTGTTGCCACTATTTCAACTTAATACAATTTGAACTTTAGTGAATAAACTTCCCAAAAATAAACTTAAACACAATATGAAACAAAGTTACAATTTAATAAAAATTTTATCTATAATAATCCAACTAAATGCTATTTTTTAATATCGCAGGATAAATAGCATAATAATCTACAGGTCAGGCCTGTCAATTTTGGGGTGAGATTTAGGAATAAGCTATTCTGGGTGTGAAATGTTAAAGGAGCACTATAGGGTCAGGAACACAAACATGTATTCCTGACTCTATGGGGTTAAAACCACCATCTAGCCCCCCTGGTCCCCTCATGCCTCCGTAAAAATAGTAAAATCTTACTTGTATTCAAGTCTGGAGCTGCTTGCTTTGTCACAGTTTCCTTTGACCTGCCCACTGCCTGCTGACATCATTAGAAGTGGTAGCCTGATCCAATCACAATGCTTCCCCATAGGATTGGCAGAGACTGACAAAGAGGCAGATCAGGGGCAGAGCCAGCATGATTCAAACACAGCCCTGACCAATCAGCATCTCCTCATAGAGATGAATTGAATCAATGTATCTCTATGAGGAAAGTTCAGTGTCTGCATGCAGAGGGAGGAGATACTGAATGTTTGGATGCATTTTAGGCAGCCATGACCCAGGAAGGATCTCTAACAGCTATCTGAGGAGTGGCCAGTGAAGTTATCACTAGGCTGTAATGTAAACACTGCATTTTATCTGAAAAGACAGCGTTTACAGCAAAAAGCCTGATGGTAATGATTCTAGTCACCGGAAAAAATTCAATAAGCTGTAGTTGTTCTGGTGACTATAGTGTCCCTTTAAATGCTGAGACATTCTATTGGTTTCCACTGTGATTGTTTAACTTAGAATAGCACTTGTTTTTGCCTGTCACCTACAATTTATTTGCTGAAACACACGTTATGTAAACCGGAGCCGGTCACAGAGCAATCTCCACTACTTATCAGAGAATGTTTCTGTGGATAATGAGTTAATTAGACTGCCAGGCCATGTCTCTAATACTCCACTGGGACCTAGGCAGTGATTCACTTCCAAGAACCTCCTTTAACTGGCATCAATGTGCTAGTGTTCTGAGCTTAGCAAACAATCAAAGGCTGCTTAAAATGACTCCTAGCTACTGATTACACCGCCATGATGGCCAAAAGGTAGATTTCTAGTTGTTGCAGAACTACAACACTCCAATAGTTTACCAACCCTGTGGATGGGGAATCTACATATAGACATTAGTGCATTCATTGTGTTTGCCCGATATGGTAAGAAAACTAAGCTAAGCAAAATGGAGGAACTTAATATCAGTTTAAACACTATGCATGACTGCTTAGGCAATTTCTTATAGAGAAGAGACAGAGGAAAGATGGTCAACCAGGCAGCTGACAACAGTAGTTTTGGGTTGCTTTGTGATAATTTTGTCCATTATGTATATGCAGTGTGTACTTGCAATACAAATAATAGGGAAGTCTCCCCCATGGCTGGAGAGAGCTGAGCCAATTACTGTGGGGTAAACTGGGCTGTGCATTAACTGATGACAGCCCCAGTAAGGCTGGTTTTTGCTGTAATGCAGTAACAATCATTTTGTGATAACTGGGAATGAGGGATACATTCATTATCCTATAAACACGTAAAGGACAGCGGTTTATGGGTAAGATCAATAGTCCAGGTTGAATAATGCTGGTGTGGGAGGCATGTAGGTAAGCCCACTACATCGTCCCCAAGGAACCCTTTGTAAAAAGGTATTTTATTATTTTTTTTACTTCATTTAAAATAAATAAATAATGCATTATTTATATACCATTATAAATATGGGGCTAGTTTTTAAATATAAAGTCCCTTTAAGTGCTTGGTGGTATGCCTGAAACTGCGCACATGACCTGGGAACATAGCTGTCATTGCAGCAAATCGCATGAACCATGTCACAAAGGTATTACACTAGTGCTACACATTTAAATCCAATTAATCATGTGAAATTATGGAAGATGAGGGTCTATAAACCCATGAGAAATACTTAAAGTGGTTGGTTAGACCCATCTACACTAGGTAAAGCTATCTTGGCTTCATTGCACAAGTAGAACTAATTCATTCTCAAACAAGTCTGCACATAAACACTGGGAACTACTGAATTTCAGGTATGTGTAAAGTAAAAAACTAAACATTAATAAAGTAGCCTGAATAAATACCCTAGGCTAAAACTCTGTTGCACATCCAAATACAATTAAAAAAAAATAACTACTCAACGAAAACCAGCATTAAATGTAATTATGCATTTTTGTTTTCATTGGGGGTATAACTTAATTTAAAAAAAAAAATCTTGCAAAAACTGCCTATCTCGTCTGCTGCCTCCCCCCCCCCAGCCCTGGCTTTCTGTGGCTGTCCAATCACAGAATTCCCAATGTAGCTCAATGATAACTCTTTGCAAGGCAGGTGCTCTGAGTAATTTATGCCTCTTGAGTTTAGTTAATTGCTATTGAAATCTGCAGTTTTTGTAAAATGAGAGGCCACAAACTGTACACACCCAGCACATGTATAGTTCTTTAGGGGTCTGGAGTTCCCCTTTAAGAGTTTGTACATTGGTCAATGTTGGGGTACTAATACCAAGTGAGACTACATTGACAAACAACAATAATGAAACCATTGCTCTGCACACAGGACACACATAAAACATCTCACCTGTTTGATCTTCTCCTCAACAATGCCCATAAAGGTGTGAGCAATCAGCAAGGCGATGCTAACGATGAGTAGCAGCAGGGACAGGGTGCCAGTCGCATATATCGTCCACCTGGCCATGGCTGCCCACACAGAAATCAGGCACTGGGCACCGTCAGGCTGGGGCTGGCTAGTGAGCAGAATAGACAACTACACCCAGAGACTGAGAGAGAGAGAGAGCACTGTGTGAGCCAGGACAAAGACCCACACCCTGAATCCAGCAATCCCGGAGGGAAACACACACAGCTCCCAGTGTGCACCCTGTGTGTGCCAGGCAATGCTCTACTATAAATGTAATTACTGTGCCCTCTCGGGGTCTATTATTGTATGTCTGAGCTGCTCCTGTGTGCTTTCTGTTTAGTGCCAACTCCCTGCCCCCTTCTCTTTCTGCAAGGTTACAGCTGGTAGTCCTACAATCCCTGCATGAGGCTGGATTTTAAGCTATTTTACATATACCCTCGCAGGGTATGTAGGGTATAGGTCAGTCCTGCCGGGCACTGCTTGCTCCCTCCCTCCTTCTTTGTTGTGCAATGGGTTTCTTCAATAAGACAGCTGAGTTTCATTTCTCTCCCTTCCCTGTGTGAGTCGCAGGGCTGTGACGAATGTTATGGGAACTCAACTTGGGTGCTGTGTGTACTATAATAACCCCATCTCTGCCAGAGCACTCATTATCAGACTGCATGTACAGGAGTCACTCGATCCACTCCACATATGGTTACATACTGACAGAATGCAAAGTAGCAAGTTTATTGCTTAAACAAACAGGTTGTATTATTGTATTCTCCATTTGTAGCATGAGCCTCAAAGAGCATTGTGATGTTTGTGTAATATAATGTGATGTTTTGAAGTTATATGAAATGCGTTTATATATGTCTCTGTACAAAGCTTTTTCTGAAACATAGCCATCAATTTTCAGGCACTAACCATGACATTTACTCTGTATATTCCTTTTTGTTTGCATGTTCCAGCTGTCCAAGTTAACACTTCTACATTGTAAGTGTCATTATGTATTATTGATGCAACAGAAGAGGAGGAGGCGGTTTCCAGGTCACCAGGTACATAAAGGACCCTCAAAGGTGTCATCCACTTGTACCATTTTCTCCAAAGCAGCAGGAAAAGTGGTGGCCGGTAATGTTTAAATATAGTCGGATGCTGCCTCAACCCCTCCACTGGCTGGTCTTCTCCAGGTAACCCTTGACCCAATAAGACATCATGCCCTGCTCAAAACCATAATCAAAGCAGAAACATAGCCTCGCCAACCAATAAAAGTGAGGGAGAGGGGATTTTAGTTTTTTAAATACATACTTTAATACATAGTTATACATCATTAGTCTTTACAGCAATAGATTTAATTTTGTTTTGCAACAAAAACTGTGGGAATGCTGCCCCACCTTCCTAAATGTATGCCTCCCAACAGTCCCGGTTTTGGTGGGAAAGTTCTGATTTCGGGGTCCTCTCCTGCTTTAGTTCCCTGTTGTCCCCATCTGGGAACACCACTGAACTGCCCTCCGGCAACACAGTGTGAGGACATTATTGGATGCGCTTGAGCTGTACAGAGGGCACTACAACCATGTAGGCAGTCCTCTCAGTTAGGGGCGGACAGCCCCACCCACCCCCTGTCTAGGTGGAACCAACCATTACGGGCATCACCGATGACATGGTTGCATTGCTGGTGACACTTCCTCAGGTCTTTCTCCCAATCATTGTTGGATACCTCCCAACTTTGGTTGATTATATTCTGGACCAGACTCTACTGAGCATAAGCATATTGAATACATGCCTCATTTGTTTCACTGTTGTTAAGTGTCTCATATTTCACTGTTATCTGTCAGAGGTCATGCATCAATTCTGTTGCGGAGACTATAATTAAGAATGGCTCCCATTATATGACACATTTCAGAGCTATATCCCATGAGTTAGTCTGTGGTTTTCTGTTTTGCATTGATGTGTTTCCTGACTTGTATATGTTTGCACAGATGTGTGTGTGTATGTATGTGTGTGTGTATGTGTGTGTATGTGTGTATATATATATATATATATATATATATATATATATATATATATATATATATATATATATATATATATATCTCATATCAAATATATATATATATATATGTATATCTCTATCTCAATCAAAAACTTACCTGCGTTGAAGCAAAGTTCTCTGTTCTCTCTGCAACTGGATCCTTCTCCTCTGGTGTCAGAAGATAGGCTGAGAGGAGAACAAGGGAGGCACATGGGAGAGAGGGTTCCGTCTATTGGCTGACCACTATGCACAAAACTGACATTTGCCATCCAGAACTCTTGTTCCAGGCTGGCTAATCAGGCCCCAATGACACTACTGGAGCTGCACCTCTGGCAGCAGAGGGGTAAATTTCTTGTGTGCCGTGTTTCGTGGGAAATCACTGCATATACAGACACCAGGCACCATGACCAATACAATTTATGGTGCTTGGTGTAACCCTTTAAAGGCAGCAGCAGGGATATAACCTCATTTTTAAATAAATGGGAAATTATAGAAGAATTTCTTTCAGTATCGCTGTACACAAAATAATATTTTATATATATATATATATATATATATATATATATATATATATATATATATATATTATAGTTAATACAATGTTAAACAAACATCTGCACACCAGTCAAGCCATAAGACTTGTTTTTCCACAGAAATTCCAAATCTGCAGTGATGTTACAACCGCAAAGGATTCTGGGTGGACATATGCCAATTAGTTTAATAAAGAATCACATTTTTGCCTCATTCCATTTTAAACATGGATTCCTTTGAGTCTGGGTTTGCTGTATACAACAGCTTTGAAACACAACTTAGGAAAAGATGCAAAAAACGTAAACCACTCATGGACAGCTGTTTCGTTGTTAATGCAAATCATCAGTATGAGGTTGGTTACTGGTTTGCTTATTGAGGCTTGGCAGTGCTTGGGAAGCAAAAACCCCAAAACTTTTTTTTTTTTTTTTTTTTGAGATTATATATATATATATATATATATATATATATATATATATATATATATATATATATATTATTTTATTTTATTTTTTTGTATTATTATTTTATTTTTTTTTTAGGTGTATTATAATTGCCAAATACCTGTTTGGAGTGTATGAAATGTAAGTTTACTTTTCTGGGCCTTCCTAGTTAAGCTCACATGTTTTGTTTAAGTAAACATGGTAATCTAGGTTGCAACAACACCTCATATCCATAAAGTTCAAACTCTAAACACATCTTTAAATGCAAGAGACACATAAAAAATATGGTGCACTCAAAGGTCTTTGCAAAAAAAAAAAAAAGAAATAAAAAATAATATAAAAATAATAATAATCAATGTATTATAAACAACTTACAAATACTGACATTTTGTCCCCACCTTGGACTTTTTTCAAGATCAGTGTGTATATATGTGTGTGTGTATCACTGTGTAGTAGATATACCCCCAATGAAAACATGCCTGCATTCTTTAACCCCTAAAGGACTGCAAGCATACTATGCTGTCCTTAAAGGGGTGGGCCTAAATGCCAGAGGACGGCATAGTACGCCCAGTTGTCCTCCCGCCGTCCCACCACTCTGTACTCATCTGGACCAGTGATCCATGGTGATCCCGGTCAGGGGGACTGCATGACAGCCCGTGCAGTCTCCCTTGCAGCAGCTCCAACCCTCCAGGGCCATGTGATCGTGATCATCACATGGCCGCATTTGGTGTCTATGGAGCTGCTTGCCCCAGACTCCTAAAAAAAGTAAAAATAAACTAAATAATAAAATAAATATATTATATATAATTAAAGCACTAATATATTACATAACTAATACTGTACTTTGATACAGCTGTATTTGTGTGTGTGTGTATATATGTGTGTATAATATATATATCTCAAAATACAGTGTGTGTCTCTCCATGTGGGTCCAGGACTCACTCTTGTGGTCTTGTGTTTGCCTGGGTGCTTACTTGAGCCAAAACATATATTCCGAGTAAAGTGCACTCACAGGACTCAGTAGATGAGTTTTCAAATTTTATTATGCAATTTAGTATACCAAGATAGTGTCCCTGTCTTGGTGTACTAAATTGCACAATAAAAATTTGCAAATTCATCTACTGAGTCCTATGAGAACACTTTCCTCAAAATATATATATTTATATTTAACTATTAATTTTATAATTTATTTGAGACCTACCTGACAACCCAGGCAGACAGTCCAGAGAATTTATTTGGCAAGCCCTATATTTAACCCTGTAACTTTCCAAAACATCATAAAACCTTTACATGCGGGCTAATGTTCTACCCGGGAGACTTCACTGAACACAAATATGAGTGTTTCAAAACAGTAAAACTTATCACAACGATATCACTAGTAAAAGTACAGTTTTTGTCTAAAAAATTAAAAAAACAAATATGAACGCTAACTTTGTCCATGGCTATTAAAAAAGACTGGACATACCTCATTTTAAATACACTGGGTTGTCTACTTTTTCAAATGGTATGCCATGGTGGGGTTAATTTTCATTTCTGGGCTGCCATATCATCTCAAAAGTCACAGAAATTGGCTAATTTTATATTTGGCCCTGAAACTTTCCAAAACACCATAAAACCTGTACCTGAGGGGTAGGTACTATTGTATTTGTGAGACATTACTCTACACAAATATGAGTGTGTTAGAGCAGTAAAATGTATTATACTGATGATATCATCAGTGACACGGCAGTTTTTGTTTAAAAAAAAAAATGCAAGAACAAAATATGATCTCTGGCCAGGGTTTGTGACTGACTACTAAAATAGACTGGATATACCCTATTTTGAATACTTTGGATTTTTCTGCTTTTATAAATGGTATGCCATGATGGTGTTACTTTTCATTCCTGTGCTGCCATACAGTTTCAAAAGCAACATAGGCCCAGCAAACCAATCTGGCAAATTTCAGTGTGCAAACATGGAAAAGAGAAAAGCCCTATATTTGACCAGTGGTGTATCCTGGTTTTGTGCAGCCCTAGGCAGGACCAAACTCAGGTGCGCCCCACCTTCTAAATACACACATACTCACACAAACAGTCAGACACACACACAGACACACAGTCAGACACAAACACAGACACATACACACACAGTCACAGACACAGTCACCCTTCCCCCCCCGCCCCGCCTTCTAAATACACACACACACATTCACTGACAGATACGCATACACACGCTAACAGACACACACTCACACTAACAGACACACACTCACTAACAGACACACACACACTGACACACACTAACACACACACACACAGTCAGACACACACATACACACACAGTCAGAGACACACACAGTCAGACACACAGTCAGACACAAATACACACTAACAGACACACACTAGCAGACACACTCACACAGTCAGACACACACACACTAACAAACACACACTCACTTTTTTTTTTATTTATTATTTACCCCCTCCTCCTTACCTTTGGGGGGTTCATCTCCCTGGTGGTCCAGTGGCTGCGGGCGGCGCTGTGCAGGCGGCTGGCGAGGGAGCTCTTCCCCTGAGCGCTCTGCTCAGCTCCCTCGCGCGCCGCAGAGTGAGGCTGGGAGCCGGAAGATGACGTCATATTCTGGCTCCCAGCCTCACTCTGCGGCGCGCGAGGGAGCTGAGCGGACAGTTTTTTGCCGCCCCCTGAAAAATGCCGCCCAAGGCAAATGCCTTGTTTGCCTCGCGGCTAAAACACCCCTGTATTTGACCCCTGTAAGTTTAAAACAAAAACCCATAAAACCTGCACATGAGGGTACTGTTGTACTCGTAAGAAATTTCTGAATACAAATATGTGTATTTTATTGCAGTAAAATCCAACAGCATTATGACAATCACAGTAAAAATGTCATGCAGAACTTGAAAAATAACACAATTTCTTTATTTCTAACACTTTTGTTTTAGGCATTATTCATATTAAATTATGATTCATATATAAATATTAGGTATCAAATGAAAGCCCTGTTTCTCCTGAACAAAATGATATGTAATAAATGTGGGTGTAAAGATAATATAAGAGATAATATGAAAGAGGTGAATCATGGTTGAACAGACCTAGGTTTTGTTTACGTATTTATTTTGATCACAAATTGTACAATTGGCTCAGTCCCTAAAGGGTTAATTACACATTTTAATTGCATGTAAATCTAAAAAGAGCTGGTAAAAGCTGCATATCTCTTGCCTGATTGGGTAGACTAGATGAGCTGTATGGTTCGTATCTGCCGTCACATTCTATGTTTACAAGCCCTCCCATTCTAACCCCACCCAGACTTCCTGTTGCTGTCCAATCACAGACTTCCCAATGCAGCTCAGTGAGAAGTTTTTGCATGGCTCCACTGAGCTTAACAAACCAGGAAGTAACAGGACTGGATGTAACAAGGTTAATTTAAAAATTGCCAGTTTCTATTGAAATCTGCACTTTTTGTAAAATGAAAAATAGAGGACACACTCTTCACATGTAAAGCATTTGAGCAAGCTAAAGTGCTTTGTTGGTGCAGAGTGGCCATTTAAGCTAAAATTTAATGGTTTGGTGTTTTTTAAATGGACACGTTTTCTAGATATAAAAACAGTTACATTATTATAAATTGATGTTATGTTGTCTATGAAATGTCACACTTCTACTATATGGTTTGTTTGTTTTTTGGAAACCATGTGATATTTCTGATATTTGACACATTGTAGTCTTCAGATGGTAATGCTGACATGTTGCCTTTCATTGTAAAAGCACAATACCCCTCCCCCCCCTACACACACACACACACACACACACACATTTTTCATTGCATGGGTACAAGTGACTCAATAAGGTTTTGTGTGTGTGTGTGTGTGTGTTATTTTCAAGTATATGCATATATACATGTCTATTAATGTATGTGTCATATTGATGTTTGTGTATATAGATTATAAACAATTAAAAAAAATTATTGTGAAGAAATCACGAAGTCATTTCGTTTATTTCCCTTCATTTGGTAGCTGTAACTACCGAACAGAGACCACCCCCCTGGCTCGTTAACTTCAAAGCGTACCTCAATTAAGCGCTCTTGGCCATCTTGTTTGTGCGAACAAAGGCAGTGGGACTTGTTTGAGACAGCCACTAGAGGCTAGATTAACCCAGAGGTAAACATAGCAGCTTCTCGTCCTGGCACCCAGACCACTTCATTAAGCTGAAGTGGTCTGGGTGCCTATAGTGGTCCTTTAAAGGGGGGGTGGACTAGCTGAGTTTTGTTATCATTTGGTTTAAGTTCTGGCGAGTTATGTGTCAAATCTCTGGGGGTTTAAAGACCGGAGAAGTTTAGTTACAAATTACGTGTTTTAAAGTAATTAAGTTACGTTTGTAATCATTTGTAAACTAAATAAAAGACCACAGCCTTTTCAGCACACATCTGAGTCTGTGTTTTTATTATAATATTTCTTGTGCCTTAATATGTTCTGCATTATTTTGCTTTTATGTGTTGGTCTGAATTAACCCCTGCTGAGCACATGTAATGCTGCTTTAATAGTCATGTGTACCCCACTCTGCTACCTTGATCAGGTAAAGTGGTGCACTACATAAACCTCATGGTGCCAGGAGATAAAAGCTAAATCCGGTGTAACAGGAAACCACCTGCAGAGCAGAAGCAACCCCCAGCACCATACCCTGTGCCTTGCAGGCAATTCTAATTGGGACCTAGCATACTCTTAAAGACTACCCTTACTGATTTTTACATCAAACGAATTGTAATGGAGTGGGACTACCAAGGTGTCTGTCTGGGGCAAGGTTCTAAAGGTGGCATTCCACTGGTTTCCTTGGTGACTGCTCTTGTTTTAGAACTTTGCCCCAGAATTCCTCCTTATACACAATCTTCACTGCGCCTATGCTGCTTCACGCACGTCTCTGCAGGTTAGACAACAGCTCTCCTCCCCCAGGATACGATCGCTGTCTCTGTCTGACAATGAGATGTGCAGAATCTCTCTCCCTCTACGACTAGAAAGAGCTCACTACCGTCTGGAGCTGACGTTCTAAAGAAGCAAGTTTGGTTGCTGAGGGTGGGAAGTGTTGCCATGGAGATAGAATGTTGTGAAACCTCAATAGCATGCAGATTTACAGCGGCTATTACTGATTGATTCGTGCCCTATTCTTAATATAGCTCAGTGGGAATTGGTAAAACCTCAGTGATTATATTTGATTAAACCAATTTACTTGACATATTAGAACTTTCGCTCAGTGTTCAGAGTTGTCTCTTGTACATGGGAGATGAATACTGATACACGCCCTCGCTTCCCATGGTAAGTCATATTTTGGACAAAAATAAATACAATGTAATTACCTTAAATGAGGGTTCAGAGGACTACCGTTTTATTTTACTTTTCAAAATTGACCCGATGGTTGCTTGATCGGCTAGCAATAGCGTGACATTTTCATTATTCATTATTCATATATTCCTTAGGATTTGACTTGGAAGAAAACTATTCGCCCCATATCTAAACCATTTCAAATTAACCCATATTCAAAACTGTTTTGGATTAATTAGGAAGTGTGTATACAAAATATGAATCATGTGAGAAATCATCTTTAGTTGACAGACGTTGGTCTATTTTTACTCCACAAAATATTCAGAGATTATTTCATAACACACTATGCATATTTGATTATATAGGTTTATGGTGTAGAAAATCTGACTGTCTGTTAAAAGGCTTCTTCCCTAAATTGTTAATGCTATGTTTACATATCTCTATAATTAACAAATATGTAACATTAAATGTAGCAATCCTCAGCTATACTGAAGCTAAATACCTCCATGTGGCTCCATTTTAATAATTATTATAAACCCTTTTCATTCATATGAACTCAGTAATGGTTGGAGAAATCAAAGAAACACAGGAAGTAATGTATAATAAGTATCAGATTCACTTTTATATTTGCACCAGTATTGTGTGACTAGACCACTTTCTATGTGGTAAAACACTGTTTTTAATTGTAGTAATCCTTGCTGGCATGCACTCCCCACCTTGTATAAAAATAAAGGATAGACTTACCTGGAATCCCAACACCGATACCAAGTTCTCCCTACATTTTTGATTTTCCTCTGGTGATGTCACTCACGGAATTAACATTAGCCGAATGACGCTACGGGAGGTAGAGTTACAACTCTGGCAGCAAAGTTATTTAACTCTGTATGTGCAGCGCTTTTTGCTGAAGTGGTCATGGTGCTTAGAGTAACCCTTTAGCTTTCAGAAAAGTGACAGTTCCATTTTAACATGAAAATAACATTTATAAAATAAAAAGCCAAATCAGTGTTTTGCTTCTTAAATGGCTTTGTCAAAATATTTTTGAAATTAATTTAATTTGTATATAATAATAATATACTCCTACAATAAGAATATAGTAATTCATATTACTTTTGGCAGAGTATGGTTACTGGATTACGCCATCACCCATTTTTTTTTTTTTTTTAAGATATTGCTTCTTAAGGACCGTTTGACCTTTTATATACTTTAACTCATTTGTAACAGAAGCGCTGTATACACCATAAACATGATCTATTATCTCCTTGGCATCCAGAGACCATCCTGCTCGCAGCATTGATACATTTACACTTGTAAATATTATCAGTATCAATTCTGTTCAACATGAATGACACATATAGGCTGAGATCACTGTGCTTCCCTATACTTGAGCTCCCAGCCCATGACTGCCATCAAAGTAGGGTAGAATTTACACTAATAATGTCTGAAATTAGGATGGTTAGGAGATGGTCTCTGGGTGACAGGAAGAGCCCCAGTTGTTCCCAAACTACTCCCAAATGATTTGACAAAAAATGTGGCACCCACAGATATTTGTACCATAATCACTGCACTTAGCTTACCTCTTTTAAAAAAAATATAGCATAAAATTATCAGTTTGCATCATTATTTTGGTGTTATTCCATAGATGACATACATTACTTGTTTAACCCCTTAAGGACCAAAGTTCTGGAATAAAAGGGAATCATGACATGTCACACATGTCATGTGTCCTTAACATGGCAATAGCAGTTTCTATATCAGACAGGGTCAATTCAGCTTTTCATTCTCTTGATAGTGACACCACCTTTGAGTCGGTCAGTGATAGTAACAACATCTATAGCCCAGAAAATCCTTGAGAAGGAGAGAAGGTTCAGTGTAAAATCCTGATAATTAATATTTTGCTTATCATGTCATATATGAGAAATCAAAAAAACTCTTGAAATGAACATGCATTGTATAATTAATTTTTTGCTTTATTTTTATAGGTACAAGGAGAGGCTCTATAAAACACATGTCAAAGATGTCAGAACTAAGCTGAAACTCTCTGGTGGTCTTAACAGTCACAATTGGTCATTCCTTCCTAAAGGATTGGATGATTTTCGAGACGGCTATCCCTCCACTGCAGAGACTTCTTTTATTCCGCCTCGCAAAGGAGCATCTCCGGTTCTGCACAATACTACCAATGAAACTGACTTAGCTGAGAAGAAGCCCAATAAGAGGTTCACAAAAGAACAAACCTGCTTCTCCAAACTTCTCCCCCAGCAGCAGGCTCGCAGAGAGTACATTGCACAGATAGAATATGGTCTAACACAGCACCCACTGGCTCTCTACCCTCATCTAGAGGAAGCTGTGCCACCAGAAGTAAGAAATGGGCATGTACTGATTATGAAAGCATCCACGAAAGGAAATACTCTCTGAGAAAACGATTGTGGTCAGGCCATGTTATGCAGATTCTCATTAAAGCATTATCTAAAATGAAATGAAAAAAAAAAAAAATCAAAACAATAACATAAAATGACACCAACCAACACCAAAATTCTTATACACTAACCCAATCTCTAACCCACACACCAGGTGCCATCCTTGTAATGCACTCCCAAAATGCACAACAATATTAAACAGTGTACGTCAATGAATGTAATAAAATCACCTTCATTGATCTACAGAATAGTAAACAATTAAAATAGCTTTACTTACTAAAATGACATAGGCTTAACATTTTTTTGCTTTTCAGCATCCACTAATAACTTACTTAAAGGAACACTTTACTGCTAGGAATACAGAGATGTATTCCTAACAGTAACATGTTCCTCAGCCCCCGTGGCTCCCCAAGTTGTAAAGGATTGAATAACCCTTTATTAGCTTACCCATATTAAAGTATTGCCTCAATGCTTTCACATGGGATTTTCTCTGATGCTGGACGTCCTCATGCAGAGCATGAGGATGTCCAGAGTCGTTTTACAGAATAAAGCTACAATGTTTTACATTGCAGGACTGAGTGGGACAGGGACATTGCACCCAGACTACTTCAATGAGATGAAGTGGTCTGGATACCTGTAGTGTGCCTTTAAGGGGCAAACACTTACTGGCTTTCTCACTACTTTTATTGTAAGAGATGGTGCAATATGTGTAATGATCCATCCTCTAGACAGTGATGACTAAATCATGGCAGTACAGGATTCCTGAGCATCATGGTAAATTTAGTTGACAACCACCTGTAACTGCTGCTCTGGAACTGCTTTGAATTTTTAGTTGGTTAAACATATAGTAAGCTCAAATTTCACTACTCCTTAGGTTCAGAGCTGTCTGGACAAGACTTACAATGTGTAATAAAATGGTGATAATAATAATTAATAATAAAGTTTTAGTAAAATTAGAACAAAAGCTCTTAGAACAAAACTTGCAACTTGTATTTTTTTTGTTTCCTTGTATTTTTTTTCTCTGTTTATGTCTTTAAGCACTACATACATTTTTTATTAGTTTTGTGTATTTCTGGAAAATGCTATTTTTTATTTTTGTTTTGCTATTTGTTTAAAGTTATTTGAGGAGATAGTGGATATCCTTGACCCAGAGATGCGCGTGAAAAGTGCTGCAGGGTCGTATAAAGCTGAAGATGATCTGCTGGAAGATGATAAATTCAGCACTTCCTATAAAGAACAGCAAGAAGCGTTGAGTGTGAAGTCATTCGCAAGTAGTCGACAATCCGCATTGTAGGTATTATAGGTGTTTTTGCAACCAGCTAGGTTAACCATAATCTAATGGTAATTTCTTATATACCTGTAGCAAATGGAAAAAACAAACAAATGACATTCATGTGCCATTCTTATATAATTGCTTTTATTAGTATGTACTGTAATTTTTGTCTTTACAATTACTCCGTATATAACATTTTGGGGATGTGACTGTCATTTGCATGATTATTCCTCTCCTTTAACCCCTTAAGGACCAAACTTCTGGAATAAAAGGGAATCATGACATGTCACACATGTCATGTGTCCTTAAGGGGTTAAAGGGTTACTCCAGCCATAAACCATTTTTTATTAAACTAGCCCTCCCCCAAGTAAAAATGATAAAGATAACATGCTGAAATGTATCTGTGATCCCACCCTTAGCCCAAGTTCTCCCGGCAGCTTAATCATCCTTCAGTGACTAAACTCTGCTTGACTGCAGGTGGAGGGACATCCTGGATGATGGGTTGAGGTGGGTGGGAGTGTGCCAGCATTGGTTGTCTGTCATGAGCATGCTGTGTGTGCTGGAACCAGATTACAAATCTGTTTAGAATTGACAAAACAACTCTGGCGACATAGTGCTTTAACTCTTTATGTGCAGTGTTTCAAACTGAAATGCTGCACATACAGACTCCAAGCACCATAACCACTTCAAAGCACTAAAGTAGTTATGGAGCTTGGAGTAACTCTAAAATATCCCTCCAGCTTCAGAAGGAGAAGACAGCACACTGATATTAGTGCATATCCCAAGATTGCTGAGTATGTGGATGGGGTTTCATCTCTATTAGGAAGCTTAGCCAACATGTTTTGCAGAGGAAGTTCTTCTGTGTAGCTAGGCTGTGATATTAAATAGTCATAGATGGCTATACATGTTGATTAGTTGTACTTAATGCATCTTGTAATGTTGATAATATTTAGGGCTTATCACTCAGTTTAAGTGCCTATTGATCTGCTTGATGTATCAGCATCATAAATCTTGGTGTTGGATCTAACTTGCAAGTGCAGTGCTTTCATTTTTATGGAGGAATTCTAACTACTGAGGAATATAAAGTTCCATTACCTCCCACAAACTCAGATAGTTTCTATATTTGCTGTAGAATATTATTATTACTGGCACTTATATAGAGGCAACATATACTGCAGTGCTTAACAATATTATAAAAATTGGAAATTTAACAATAAATGAGACAATAACAAAATATTACAGGAACAATGGGTTGATGAGGACCATGCTCAAAAGAGCTCTTTTTATTAATGTATTTATTATAGTAACACTATAGGCTCTTTAGCACAAACATGTATTCCTCTATACCCTCTAGTGTTAAAACTGCCATTTAGGTGGCTTGCCCTCCCTTAGCCCCCTTAAAAGGTAATAAAACTTACCTTATTTCCAGTGCCGTGTGGGCTTGCCATCACTGGCTCCGCCTCCGATCTGCCTCCTTGCATCATCAGAAGTTATGATTACAGCCAATCCAATGCTTTCCCAAGCATGATTTTCAGCTAATCCAATGCTTTACCATAGGCTGCAATCGGCAAGGAGGCAAGACGGGGCCGGGGCCAAATGCTGGCTTAGCCAGTCAGCAACTCTTCATAGAGATGCACTGAATCAATGCATCTCTATGAGGAAAGATAATGGCAGTGCTGCAAACTGTGCAGCACTGCCCCAGGAAGCACCTCCACTGGCCATCTGAGGAGTGGCCACTGAAGGTGTCCCCAGGGGGCAATGAAAAGGCACTGTTTGCAGTAAAATGAGAATAATTATACTCAACAGAACTACATTAAACTTTAAAAGAACAAAATACATTCTTGATCCAAAGCACACCGTACAATCTGTGTTTTGTGTTTTGTTGTAGAAGTGGACAGTCCAGGCAAAAGAATCCATACACATGGCTTTCTAAGAAAGAAGAATCGTTGAAAGAGGAGAAGAGTCTCAGAACAAATCAAAGCTTGACTCCAGCATTAAATGAGAATGTGAAGCATGCGACTAAGGAGTTCTGTGACTGGGTGGCTTCTTTGGTAAGTTTCTATTAGTTCATCCACCTGATCTAACTCAGTAGTTACAAAACTTGTCTTCCCACACACCCATCTATTCATACTTAAAGTGTTACTTTATACACCTTAACAACTTCAGCTTAATGAAGCAGTTTTGGTGTATACATCATTCCCCTGCAGTCCCACTGCTCAATTATTTGCCATTTAGGTGTTAAATCACTTTTGTTTCTGTCTTTGAAGCTCTAGTCATACCTGCATGAAAACAAAATGGTAAAGGAAGGGCGATTACCCTTTTTTAAATATACAAATAAAAGATCAATTCCATCTCTTTGTAAATAATCATTTATATATATTTTGGTGCATTATGTTTTAGCATCACCAATAAATTACTTATATTAAGTTTTGTAATACATATATCTAAAGACTGTCACACATATGGTTCTTTAAGATACATTGTGACGAACCGTCTGTACCCAGAGTGGTACGTTTGTCTGAAGAGCCCTCCATTCCCACAAGGCTCCAGTGACTATAGCGCTCTCTCTCTGTCGCATACCCAAACAGCTGAGACTTGATAAAGGGTAAAAAATAACTGGTTTTATTGAGGCCCCAGCATGGGGTCCCTATTCATGTACAGTAAAAGCCGCCCAGAAATAAGTGAGTTTGATAAGGCTTTAACTAATTATCTCCCAGACACACAAGGTACAACTAGTAAAACCCCCCAAACACAAGGAAAAACGACAGGTACACCCACATATTATATATCCCCAGATAGCCCAGATCTGAGCGCCCAAGTTGTCTAAATAACGTTCAGATCCACGTAGTGGAGTAGGATCGCCACCGGGGTAGAGTTCTGACCGACCGCACACGTGGCCAAAGCCCAAAGTAGTTCCACGAGGATTGTCCTTGCAGTCAGTAAAACAAATATGGGCTTCTCCTGGCTCTCAGGGAGCGATTTATCATCATAGCCCAGGGTGCCTTCCATCCAATTGCTGCTCTCCTGGCGGGCCTGGAAAGGGGGGAAAACAGGGGGTGACGGTTACTGGGAAAGGGATGGTGGAATGGGCAAAAATAGTTCTGGAGGGTTTGTGGCTAAATGCACCTGGTAGCGATCGGCCGCCAGCTGCCAGGGAGGGAGTGTTCGGTAGAAATAAAGTACCGAGTCAAGGGAAGTATAGTTCGTTCGGTAAAAAGGGGAACATTAACTTGGGAAGTTTTTCAAATACATAATGTATTCTTACTAAGCACTGCATGTTTAATTATATTTTGCTACGATCCAACCAAGAATCTGCTTTCTTGAAAGGCTTCTAAAGCTACACAAAAACACACTTCTTCAGATCAGTGTGTTTGCCTATTGTGAATACAGTTTGCAGTAACATTTTTATTTCAGTATGGAATTTTAAATGGTGTTTGTCCTTTTAAATGGATTATTGAGAGTACAGTTCTCAATGACATGTACATTTCACGATGGAATCCTAAATAGCGTGCCTCCTCAGATGGATTATATTTGTATACTGTGCTGTGAGTGCATTAGGTGGAGATTCTCTTGCCATTAAATACCAGCTTTTTTTTTGGTTACTTAGTAAATATCTTGTAATATTTATATTCTTATGTTCCTTAGTATGAGCATAATTCCTTATCCACACAAGTTTAGAAACAAGTTTCGTGTAGCACAAGTATTGAATGAAGGGTACAGGGATATTATACATTCCTGTTTCAATTAAATGCTATTAGTGTATAGTATGAAGAGCTCAGTCCGTGATTACTTATTGATGAGCAAACCGAGCCCTGATATTATGCTTTTCCCATTGGCTGTGCTTTGAGTTAAAGGAAGAATTATGATCAAGCATTTACATCCCATAAGTTGTTAGCAACACGTCCATGGTCCAAGTTAGGAGCGTAATCAATCTTTCCATATTAAATGATTGGATATTAGTGGGAGAGATTTCCTTATCCTGGATAAAAGGTGAAGATGTCTGGGCCAATGAGCTGAAGAGAAGGTGTGTTAACTCCAAAGAGCAACCCACATTTGTGAAGAGGAGGAGCTGAAGTTCTACAAACAGATTGCGACACATTCTTTCTCCGCACACAACCTTCAAGAAACATACATATGTTGTTCTCCAATAGAAATAAAGAAATAACTTGGTTTATTAAGATTTGGTTCAGTTAAAGGTTGATCGCTTTCCACTACATTGGGTTGATATCAAAGGTGCAGCATGAATTGTACCTTGAACTCATAATGTCAAGCAAAATATATCAATTAGAAAAATCATGCTCAAAATACCAGTTATAAAAGCTGTGATGGATTATATAAAAATAGACACACATTCCAGTGACACTGGGCTTTTAAAGGGGAACTGTCACTTCCCAGAATTTGTAATATTGTTTAGTTATCCCTATATTTATCAGACATGCATTTGTAAATGAAGAAATCCCCTCCTCTCCGTCATAGCTCAGTGCCAGTTATTGTTACAAGCTCTATCCTTTCCACCTGGCGTTCACTAGTCAGCATAGAAAAAACACACAGAGAAGAACAGAAATGTTCTACTTATCTTTGCCTTGTCTGAACTGGATTATACTGTCGTTTACTAAATATTTAATATAAATGTAAAATAAAATTGAGCTTCTCTTGAAAAATATGTTAATGCAAGTTATAGGTGATTTCCAATGTTTTGTTCAATGTTGTTAATTTTAGAACTGAAAACTCTGCTTTAATAGCATTAGGCTTTGCTGAAATTATTTTTTTTTATTGTAATTCATACTTGAACAGTGTTATAGTCCTTTTCTTCCTCTCCTCGTAGGGTGGTGAGTCATGTAATGTCAATGAGTCCTCAGTCTACAGTCTATTTTCCAGTGACTTTGATACTAAACCAGCCCTCAGTGTACCAATCCATGTGGTGGAGTTGAGCAACGTCCCTGCAGAGCTAAGAAAGGCTGTGGGACTGACCCCTCGACCCAATATTTTAAAACATTCTCGCTCCAAGCTTCAACATCAGTCTCCGGTAAGACACAAGAAAAAAATCCTTTTACAGAGCACAGGCAGTCGTTCATTTAAAATAGCTGAATGCCCATTAACAATATATGTAGTGTCTTTGGAAACCTACAATTTTAGTCTGTTTAAAAGCTTTCCTTCACTGATACTATTATGGAAGGAGATGAGTCACAAGTCTCATCTATTCTGTGGTTTGTTACAAGACTGGATGGCACACCACAAGCAGTGAGAGACATTTCATAATCACATTAGATCTTGTGCAATGACTGTAAGAACATTAAAGGACCACTCTAGGCACCCAGACCACTTCAGCTTAATGAAGTGGTCTGGGTGCCAGGTCCCTCTAGGATTAACCCATTTTTTTATAAGCATAGCAGTTTCAGAGAAACTGCTATGTTTACAAATGGGTTAATCCTTCCTCCAATTCCTCTAGCGGCTGTCTCACTGACAGCCGCTAGAGGCGCTTGCGTGATTCTCACTGTGAAAATCACAGTGAGAGCACGCAAGCGTCCATAGGAAAGCATTGTAAATGCTTTCCTATGCGACAGGCTGAATGTGCGTGCAGCTCTTGCTGCGCGTTCGCATTCAGCCGAATGGGAGGAACGGAGGAGGATCCCCACCCAGCGCTGGAAAAAGGTAAGTTTTAACCCCTTTCCTCTCCCCAGAGCTGGGCGGGAGGGGGTCCCTGAGGGTGGGGGCACAGTCAGGGCACTATAGTGCCAGGAAAACGAGTATGCAATAAAGAAAGCCTAAATAGGGCTCTCTTTACAGGAAGTGTTTATGGAAGGCTGTGCAAGTCACATGCAGGGAGGTGTGACTAGGGTCCATAAACAAAGGGATTTAACTCCTGCAGTGAGGCTGCAGGGGCATGTTCTATATGCCAAAACTGCTTCATTAAGCTAAAGTTGTTCAGGTGACTATAGTGTCCCTTTAATGTCACTGTTGTTTTAGCTCTCCTTGCTAATATGGGAACTTGGCTTTTCCCACATAAATCCCCCTACACATGTATATTGGGTTAAGGAAAAAGAGTCAGCATATTTATGCCCACCTGCTGAGATTTATCAAAGGGAAACTGTAAGCACCATAACCACTTCAAACTATTGAATTGGTTATGGTGCCTGAAGTCTGTACCAGGTCATTATTAAAATGTTTACGCACCATTTCTTAGGGATTCTTGGTCCTCAGAGGCGGAACAATGCTCCACTTCACACAATATGAGGGAATGTGGATAGTGATTGTCTGAGAGCATCAACTAAGCACTTTCAGTCAATCACTGCCCCAATCCTTGGTATGGTGCAAGGTGGAAGCCTAGCTCCGTCTCCACCATATCGTATTTGGAGGCTGGGATTCAGGCTGCCAGGGACTGAGAATCTCTGCTAAACAGTGTGTTGATTATTTAATAGGGATGCGGGACCTGGCACCCAAGGACTCCAGGTGCCATAACTACTTCAATATATGGATGTGGTTATGGTACTTACAGTGTTCTTTTAACTCTCATACTGCTGCTTTTGACATTAGAGAATGGTGAGTAGTGTTGAAATAGAATACTTTATTTTCTGCACACATATTGACATTGTGCAGTACAGGGTTCTCTCATCACAGAGCGGAAATGGGACATACCTGGCTTGCCCCCAGATTATTTACACTCCCAAGCACCAGCTGCAATTTAAGTGTATACATATGTGTGCATGTGCATGCATATGTAAAATCTAAACAATGAACTTTAAATATTGTCTTAGTGAAGTTTTCAATCCTCAAGGGTAAAATGAGCATTTGGATGTAATCAATACAACTCAAAATAAACGCAGTGTTTATCGAAATTAGTGGCTGTTACACAGATTAATTTCTTAACTGTCTCAATGCTGAATCCTTAAAAAGTCCCTTGACATTTCTCACTGTTAAGTGAATGTCAGCTAATCTATGTGCATTGGTCCTCTTCTTTCTGAATGTTGCAGAGATTTTACTAATAAATGAATCTCTCTCTTGCAGGAGTCAACGTACCATCCTAATTATGTTAAATCTAGATATGGAGCGTGGTATCTTGATCCCAAAACCTGGAAAAAACATAAAATTAATGAACCACTACAGAACCCAAGTTCAGAAGAGCTAGACAACAGCCCTGCTTCAAAGGGCAAGTTAAGCCAAAAGGTGAGTCATTATAGTCAGTATTTACAAAATAATATGGCTATTACCAACAATCATACATGTTGTACAAGGACAAAATAATTACACACTTTTTAAAAAGCTGTTAGAAATAATATTATTGTTATTAGCTCTTTTTGTCGACAGATGGAAATGAAAATGATATTGCCCTCAAGGATTGTCTTTGCACAATGTAATTATATTATTATATTGCGCAACAGTCACTGTTCTTAATGAGAACCATAAACTAGTTCTGTCTCTGAAATGGTTCCCTAAAAGTCTAAGAACATTAATGTAGAATGAAAGTCAGGTCTGATAAGCATGCATAGTGATATGTCAGCATAGTAATCTTGCTTTATGGTCCAGTTTATTAAAGGAAAACTCAAAGCACAAAAACAACCTCGGCTTAATAAAGCAGTTATAGTGTATAGATCATGGCCTTGCAGTGTCACTACTCATTTCTCTGCCGTTTAGGAGTTAAATCACTTTGTTTATGCAGCACTAGCCACACCTTCACTGCCTGTGACTCACATAGTATCTCTACACATTTCCTGAAAAACTGCTGACATTTTCTTTTAGCTTTCGTTATTGCACAGTGTGATAATTGCTTGCTAGAGCCTGGAGCGGCCTCCTGTGTGTAGTAACAGAAGTAAAATCATACCTCTTTTTTTTATTCTTCCATAACCTATTCTTCTCTTTACTCTTGGTAGTATTTATCTAAAAGTTTTTTTTGTTTGTTTTTTTTAATATAAATATTGTCATATAACTAATTTTATAGATTTAGTTCACATAAGAAGAATGTTTTACCACGATTCATCAGTAGAAGGAGCTCTGACTCAACTTCTAAATCATGGTTATCTTTTTGCACTTGTACTTTTTTGACCAGCAAGGTGAGGGAGGAATGGTAAAGTAAACCTTAAGTTTTTACTTAATTTGGGGGAGGGGGAGTTGGCGGAAACAGTTAATGGGACACTATATTGTTAGGAATTCTTGTTTGTATTCCTAAAGCTATAGTGTTCCTTTAATGTATTTTGTTTTATGACCCAATTAACAATGTAAGTTTGAGTCTCGAATTATAATTAATGCAGGTTGAATGCTGTGATCTCTGAAGCTGAGGTGCTTTGTTATAAATGATTAATTATGTATGAATCCACTCGCACAATGGACACTATTAATTCACACTAACCTCTGGACCTCTTAGGTTCAAATAGCCAAGCTTTGACTCTAGCTGAACTGGAGATTTGTTCCAAATCACATATTTTAGACTACATTTTGACATTCTGATTTTAATTTGCTACTTTTGGATTTTAGTGAATAAGTATCTCTTGGAAATGGTTATTGCTGGAATTGTGAATTATTTACTGATATGAGAATTGTCGGGAATTCAAAGAGAATTTCAAATTTAAGGGCAAAATTTCCGAATTGGAAAAATTGTCTGTTATGATTCTATTTCTGCTATTTTGACCTTAGATTTAAAAAAAATCACTTTGAATTCCCATCAATTCTCACTTACAGGTCATCTTTTGATTATCAGTTAGGCTAAATAAAAGTCTAGCAGTATAAATATGGCCCTTGCTCATGATCACCAATTCATCCAATAAGAGGCACCTCTAGGGAGTCTGAGCCTAACACAGGAGATTGGGACAGCTTCCTTTTTTTCTGTGTAATAAATAGTGCATCCAAATAGTGCATCCATTCAGTGATTTTACTTCTCAAGGAAATAGTTCCACTGAGATAATAAACTCCTTTATCCCTAAAGGAAATAGAGAAGTGGTTTAATTTTATTTAAAAATTAACCTTTTTAACTTTTGATTAAAAACAAATACCTTTAATTTTAAACATTTGATCAGTTAATGCATTTGAAAAGTAGAATGATTAGAGCGGGGGTAGGCAACATGGCACGTTTGCCATACACTGCACTCAAGGCTACCAGAGTCAAACTGGGTCTGACCTCTCATGAGTCCCAGTGAAACTTCAGATATGTGCTAACACACACCACCAAACACACTGTGACATTTCCATCCACACACACAATTCCACAAGCAGCCCCCATACACAGCACACATTCATAGGGACACGATACCACAAACTACTCATGAACATATACAACAAGCATGTCAAACTCAAAGGCTAGCACGGGCCACATGAACAAGGTTTAAGTTTATGTGGGCCGCAAAGAAAACAAAACCTTAAATTTTCATAGAAATGTAGGTTTGTTTTGAAAAGTACAGTATATTAAAAAAAAACACAAACAAACAGCATCCCCGTCTACTAAACGCCAGTCCCTCCCTCTGTACTAAATCCTCCCCATCTATACTAAATCCCAGCAACCCCCTCTATTAAACTCCAGCCCTTGTTTAAAAAAAACCAAACAATATAAGCCAACAAGCAGACTCCACTCACATTGCCGCTGCTAGTATGCGACTCCGGAGTCCGGCCTCTGGTGTACCCCCAATGGCGCCATCCGCATCCAAATGGATCCTCCTGCACCTCCTTAAAAACCTGTGACGTCAGATTGTGACGTGGTGTTGCGTGCCTCCGTGCACCTCCAGGTCCTCTACTGTCCAGCCACGGCCATCGCACCACTGACCAACACACACTGAAAGACACACACACTCTCTGACAGACACACACTGGCAGACACACACACACACACATTTACACATTCTTGCACACACTCACATCATTTTATTTATTGCTCCCTACCTTTGGGAGCTGGTGTGGGGCCTCTCCCTGATCTTCTCTCTGGAGCTCAGTCTTCCTGTTCACTCACGCATGCAGTTTAGTGATGCCGGAATGATGTCATATTCCAGGACCAGGCATCACTACATCAGTGAGGAACAGGAAGACTGAACTTTCTCGCTGCCTCCAGGGACCTCTCCTCTCCGGACGGGTAATGTTGGCAGAGTAGGCACCTGCAATGTGGAGAAATCAGGTGCCTACTCTGCTTTAGTAAGCATGGCAAACTCGCAGCTCGCAAGAATATTAATGGTGGGACACGATTTTGACATGCTTGATGCACAGTATAATAGCTCATATACTGCCAAATACAACGATACAAAGCAACTGCAGTATAAATAACACAAGCAGAATACGGCAACATACACACCTCGATTAAAAAAAAAAAAAAAAAAGGACTGGCACGCTACGGGCCTTCCTAATCTTATTTCGTCACAGTGCTGCTAAAAGGTTGCCTACCCCTGGATAAGAGTATAGTTAAATATTCACAATTTAAAATTGTTGTAAAATTTCCGACTTGTGTTTTAGAAACTTCAAATTCAAATAGTAATCGAAAATGTTGATATTAGATGCTTAGTCAATTTCTACTCCACAATTTCCAACTAACTTATTGAAATACATTTTCTGTGATTTTCTGTGTACGTATTAGAGTTTAACACTTTACAAAATGTCTTTTAACCATTTAAGTAATTTAATTGTTGGTAATAAGTAGATAAATGATCAATGTTAATCTAAATGGCAGAATCCATAATGCCTACTATTATCAGCATGGGAGAAGTGAAAAGTGACATTCATTTAGGAGTTCAAGTTACGTTTAATACATTGTCATATTGTTATATAAAAGTTGCAACTATAAGTATCAGTCCTTAATATACGATGTAATAAACACAAATCCAACAGTGGCTACAAATGTCCGCTAGATGTCACTGTTCCCAAGAAAAGCTTTATCCTAATTATAGCGAAGAATATACAGCAAGAAAGTCAAAAAGCAGGCTGGTGAAAAAAAATAATAATGAAATACCAGTGTGCATCTGATTGAAAAGGTAAACCTCACAATATTTTAAGTATGTACGATGAACAAATCAAGTAAGTCTCAAAGTGCGTTTCATTTGGCAAACATCACCGTGATCCTCAGGAGTGCAACCCTGGTTGGTTGGTTGCACACATCTCTGAGGATCACGGTGACGTTTGCTGGGTGAAACGCATGTCGAGTGACTTCTGTACCAATTCTTACCTGATTGGTTACCTGCAAGGCTCCAAATTTACAAGTCAGAGTACTCTGATTGGTTAGCTTAAGCCAACCAATCAGAGTCTTCTGAGTCAAATTGATCGGCATGGGAAGGCTTTATAACTCACTGGGTGTAGAAGGATTATTTGTTATTGCTGGGATTTTTTTTTTCTGCATGTTTCAAAAAAATAAAATTTTTGTGCTTGGATCTTTTTTTTTTTTTTTTTATTAGTTCGACAGAGTTTATGGATTTTTACTTGGATTTTTGGGGGGGCTGAAAAAAACAAGATTGAAGAAAAAAATTGCCAAAAGGTGGTAGCTGGGGAGAACAATAGATACCCCGTCTTTATTACTTAGGGCCCCCATCTGCCAGCAATGAGTGGAGGCGGGGGTGCTTCCATAAAAATCTCAGATTTTACCTATGCCCCTCTCAGCCTTCTTTCTTCTGTCTGTGCTATTTTCCTGCTCCTAATTACATCTGTTGGAACAGGAGAGGGAAGAAGATGGGTTGGTCCAGTCTTCTACTTGATCCTGGCTAAGATAGCGCTGGCAGCATCCGTGGTGCTTGCAGGCATCTGTAGGTGAGGCCACTAACGACTCCATGAGCAGCACAATGAGGCACACTGATTTAAATTAACTTTTATTTGATAAATTTGAGATAAAATGTTAATATTTACATATGGCAAGTTTTGTCATCCACATGTTTATGAAGACATGGACAAAAGCCTTGTGTTAGGCCCAAATGTCTTTGATTGCGTTGTTTCCAAACTAACTAATTCTTGGTTAAAGGACCACTCCAAGCAGTGTGCTCTACTGGTTATTGTGCCTTCCATTGTTAGTTAAGCCATTTTAGAATCACTTGGCTTCTTACTTGCAGTCTACTGAGTGACACTCCTCCTCCCTCTCTGCAGACAGGAGAGTCAGAATCTCCTTCTGTAAAGCTTCTCTTAGCTCTTCTGGGTCAAGCCCAACTCATTGGCTGAGAGTGTCAGCTGATCACCGTGAGCCAATGAGCTAAACTCTGCATCTAGCTCTCTGAAGGCTATAAAGGAAGTGGGGAACTGTGGCTAACATGTTTTGACTACTTACAACGGGGGAGGTGTGAGCACCAGGACACTTCTGGCACCATAACTACTGCTGCAGGCTGTAATGGTTATGGCGTTTGGAGTGTTCTTTTAATAAATTGAAATGAACTCTATCAATACCAATTTTATTAATTTTCTAGGATGAAGAATTGTTACAACTTCATGGAACCATGGCATTTAAAGAGTTCACAGAAAAGAACGGCTACAGAAAACCAGAGGTGGGTGCAGTCTCTTTTACTGGGTTGTTGTGTGTTTGGATGCCCATTTAACAATTGGATGCTTTGATGTAAGGCTTACAATTGTACTCATGCCTGAGCGTTACTTATATTAAAACTAATCCCCTGCACCCTCTTGTACCACGCCTTTAGACGCAATATTTATACACTGATCAGTCACAACATTAAAACCACTAACAGGTGAAGTGAATAACACTGATTATAGTGTTACAGTGGCACCTGTCACGGGGTGGGAAATTAGGGAGCAAGTGAACAGTCAGTTCTTGAATTTCATGTGTTGGAAGCAGGAAAATGGGCAAGTGAAAAGATCTGAGTGACTTTGACAAGGGCCAGATAGTGATGGTTAGATGACTGGGTCAGAGCATCTCCAAAACGGCAAGTCTTGTGGGGTATTCCCAGTGTGCAGTGGTTAGTATCTACCAAAAGTGGTGCAAGGATCATGGGCGCCCAAGGCTTATTGATGCATGTGGAGGAGCGAATGCTAGCCCGCCTTGTCTAATCACACAGAAGAGCTACTGTGTTTTAAGAAATACTTAATGCTGGCCATGATGGAAAGGTGTCAGAACACACAGTATAATGCAGTGTTCTGCCTATGGGTCTGTGTAGCCAGAGGGCCTATGATAACTAGTGTCCACCACTATACATTTACCTGGGGCAGAGATGATAGCAGGATGCACTATGTTAAGAAGGCAGACCAGTGGAGGCATTGTTATGCTCCAGGCAAAGTTCTGTCGGGAATTCCTGGGTCCTGGAATTCATGTGGATGTTACTTTGACTACCTACATAGACATTGTTGCAGACCATGTACACCCCCTTCATGTTTCCTGATGGCAGTTGCCTCTTTCAGAGGTATACTGCCACTGCACATAATGTCCGGGAATGGTTTGAGGAACACGACAAAGAGCCAAAGTTGTTGCCTTGCCTTCTCCAAATTCCCCAGATCTCAATCCAATTGAGCATCTGTGAGATGTGTTGGAACAACAAATCCAATCCATAGAGACCTCACCTTGCAACTTGCAGGACTTAAAGGATCTGCTGCTAAGTCCATGCCTCAGTGCATGAGAGCTGTTTTGGCAGCACTAGGGGGACCTACACAATATTAAGCAGGAGGATTTAATGTTGAGACTGATCAGTCTATATAGTATATACAGCATACATTTATTGGATGGATTCTAGTTACCTGTGAAAAGCAGATCCCCCAGGAAACTTTACTCCTTTTTTTAGTCCTTTTTTTTTTTTAATAACCTTAAACCATGCCCTACCACATCTTAATTACCCGAATACAATCCCCTACTTTAGCATGTAGTGGTTATGGTTCAACTGCCCCTTTAAATGGTAGAATGAGATACATTCCTGTTAGTTATTTGGAACAGAAAAAACCTATAGTTAATTTTTAGAGAAATGTTTATTTGAGGAACTAATTTCCAAATCAAATACAAACAGTTCAGTTAACTTTCACTTCAGCTCAGTGAACTTTCACTTGTGGTTTTAAACCTCAGCCCCTTCACTCCAAAACCCATGCAGATCTTCTATGGGATCGTGTTTAAAGGACCACTATAGGCACCCAGACCACTTCAGCTTAATGAAGTAGTCTGGGTGCCAGGTCCAGCTAGGATTAACCCTTTCCTCTATAAACATACCAGTTTCAGAGAAACTGCTATGTTTATAATAGGGTTAATCCAGCCTCTAGTGGCTGTCTCATTGAGGCGCTTCCGTGCTTCTCACTGTGATTTTCACAGTGCAAAGACACCAGCGCCCATAGGAAAGCATTGAGAATGCTTTCCTATGGACTGGCTGAATGCGCTCGTGCCGCGCATGCGCATTCAGCCGATGACGACGAGGCGCTGGAAAAAGAGGTAAATTTAACCCCTTCCACCACCGAGAGCCAGGCGGGAGGGGGGCCCTGATGGTGGGGGGGACTTAGAGACCCTATAGAGCCAGGAAAATGAGTATGTTTTCCTGGCACTATAGTGGTCCTTTAAATCCACCAAATATAAACCAGTTCTTTTCATGACTGTGTCCCTTTAAGTACATCAGCTGGTTGTAGCATGGAGGCAGCTAGGTAGCATGGTGACTGCTGTCTGTGTGAGCATCTGTAATTACTGTGCAATGGATATGTAGTCTCAATATGGATGGAGTGGTGTCCAGTTAGACAAGCTGTTTGTTGCAGATCAGAAGTCAATGGATACTTCCAGCATGCTTGCCCTTTCCACTCACCTAAAATAGAAAATGTGTTTCAATAGCTGCTACAGCGTTACTCCTGACTGTACTGGTGTGATACATGATCAGATTACAGAAAGAACTGGTCACAGTTTAGATGATTATTAAAATGCTTAGATTCGTTTTCTATTTTTTTACACCTTGAAATTAGTGAAGTATATAACCCATAGCCATTGAAAAATGGCAGTAAAATAACTGTAAGTTAGCTATGGAAAGTGACTAACATTACATTATATGTTTAGCCAAGTTTAATTAATTCAGATTTTTTTTTCTTTTGTTTTTTTTTTTCTCTTTCAGTATTCCACACAAAATCTATTTTATTTATTGTATTAATATCCTTTTTATCAGACAAACATGTGCTATTATGCTTAAATAATTCTCTTTTTTTTTCTTCTTTATTTCAGTTTCTTACCAAATTATTTTCAAAGACAGATTCTGGCTCATCAGAAAATGTTGTCTCAAAGGACTCCAGAGCAGCCTCTTCCAGAAACACCTGGCGCAGAATGGGCTCAGCCTCCTCCCAAGAAGACAGCATAATAAATTAGAAGCTTTCTATATAGGTCACTCAACCTTTAATCGAACCTCAAATATACAGATTTAAAGATCTAGATTGGAAATATGCTTCCAAATGTAATGATCTAAAATAAACTATATGCAGACATAGGGTACTATGTCTATTTCTTTATCTTTTTGTTTTTCAGTTTTTTTTTTCATTTTTAATCTTCTTTCTTAGACTGAGTTATTATTATTATTATTGAACAATGTAATATTTTATACAATATATTATATACTGCTGTGTTTTTAGGTAGTTGCAGTTAGGGATAGCACTAGGTCAGTTTAACAGTGACTAGTTAATGAAAATAAATTTGCGTGTGCACCAAAGAAAATATGGGATATACCTAGCAGAAACTCACCTGTAGTTCTCACCAACATCAGCGTTTCACTTAAGTTTTAAGTTAGACTCATCAAGGTTTGGTTAGCAGATAGATTCTGCCAAGATAGATTATTTTTAAAGTGACAGCTAAAAGAAAATACTTTTTTTTTTGTTCTAGATTAAGAGAAATATATCTAATTCTATCATTTAAAGGGACATTCTAGGCACCATAACCATTACATGCTAAAGTAGGACATTTTATTCAGGTCATTAAGACATGGTAGGGCATAATATATAATATACTCTTTATAAGGGTATAAATCTGGACTAAAATAGGGAGCAAAGCTTCCTGGGAGATCTGCTTTTCACAAGTAATGAGAACTGGCATCCATCCATCCATTATATCTATGGTTTTATCACCCACCTCTTGTAAATATTATAAAAGTTTCATGAACATCCAATCTGTCATGAAATACTAGCCTGCATTTATAGCTGTGAACATTGTATAACAATTTGCTTAAGGTGTGCCAAGAATCTGGTTTAGAGCTCTCTGCCACGTACGTGAGGCTGAGAAAGGATCGAATGAAGGAATTCTAGCCACAGTATTCGTGTTCAGATAATCTGCAAAGCAATATGAAAACTCTCTCGGTTATTCACTAAACTGAGAATTCAAGGTGAATTCAAAGTTAATATCAAACTTAAGGTCACAATAGCTGAACTGGAAAAATTCTTTCAGCCAGTTTCAGTTCAGCTGTTCAGGTCTTAAATGTGAAATTTACTTTGAATTCCCACTTCAGTAAAGAACCCTGTAAATGTCCATGTGAAGGATTACACAAGGTAGGCAAATAAACAACAATGAAAAGGAAAACAGACCACACAGAATTTCAAACATTAACCTAGCAGGAACGGCATGTATATTAGACATGGCAGGTACAGAGGCTGAATGTGAGCAGACACTTGGTCATATTTTGAGGAACAAAAGCTGGATCAAAACGTGAACTTAAAAATGGTGTCTACACTGCTGTCATCCACAGGGGGAGCCTTGTGTTCGTGTTCCTGTGTTCCAGCCTGCATAAACACAAATGATGAGGAGCATAATATAGGCAAGGTCAATCAGGCTTCTATCTCATGAACTAGAAAACATACAAATGCAAACTATTACAACTACCATAGCTAACAAGGTGCAAATAATTGGACTCTTGCACTATGAATAGGATGGCAGCATGTGAAACTGAGAGGCCACAGAAGAGATTATTTTTTGTACCAATGTGTACGTACATACAATATATATTGTGGAGGAATGTCACACAAGAACTCTGACCCAGTAAAAGCCAAAGATGGGAATCTTCCCAGTTAGACATAATGGCAGCATTGCCAATCTTGGTCTTGTTTGTTGTAAATTATGCTTGATGCCAAATGTCCTACAGAGAGGTTATGCAAGGTGCCAAGTAGTTTATTATACCCCGCAGCGAGAAGAGAAAGGGATCAGTCCAAGATGCACATGTGGCGAACATGATTTTTTTTTTTTTTGCAAATTACTGCAGTGATAAGCCATTCTCATTGGGGAGAGTAGGTGCAGGTTCTTATGTGCAATATAACTTTTGAAATAATGAAAAGTTGTTATAGTGGTTAGTGACCCTTTAATGTGATATCTAGTGCCAAGGTTCCAAGTTGTGTAGTAAATGAATAGATTCAACAGTTGTGTTCTTTTTCTCTGTAACCGCTGCTCTGAGACCCAGCACATATCAGATAACCAGCACAGACATTTAACATAACATGATCCATCTTTAAAAAGCAGGTAAATTGCATACAACTGTGTACAATCCAGAAAGCAATATACAATACAACCAATAGAGGGTACTAGCATATTCCAATGTATTATGAGGAAACTGGTGTCCGGATGATTCTGTTAAACCAGGGGTCCTCAAACTCCGGCCCCCCAGATGTTGCTGAACCCATGATTCTCTGGGTATCTATGTAATTCAAATAATCGTGGGAGTTGTAGTTCAGCAACATCTGGGAGGCCGGAGTTTGAGGACCCCTGTGTTAAATAATCACGGTCATCACATCTACATTTCCCTGTTAGGTGTTTGAGATCAAAAAGCCAAGCATAATAAAAAAATAAAATCCTAATGATTTTTGAAAGAAGCTTCATATAATCCATGTTTGTATCTTTTGATGTGTCCAATCAGATGTTTCTTACAGAGAAGCATTGGGAGGCACTTTATATGAGAAGCACTCACTTTCACTTTGTATTGCAGGTCACCCTCTAAGCATGTGAAGAATGGAAAAGAAGACGATACAAAGCTTTTTATATATTATTGTGATGGAGTGCCCCTTTAAATTGTCAGATAATTTTCAGCACATAAGTACACGTTAAATGTATTGTATGTGAGCCAGTTTCCAGTGCAGGCCTGCCCTTCGGATGTGGCAGCTCCATCTCAGCATTTGTCGTAGCCATACAGTGGGTATTTAAAAAAAATATATCCCCTTTGCACACTGGGATTGTGAAGCAATTTGTGTCATTTGCCTGTTTGTATATGGATTTTGCTAGTGGACCAGTGGTTGTAGTTGGATGTAAGTGAATTTCCATGGTGGTTTTTGTAGTTGCAATGGGAGTAGTCTGAATTTCCCGGATGATCTGGTGGCTGCAGTGGGAGATCTGTGCATTTATCTGTGTTTGCATTGAGCGTGGGTTCCCTGGTGGCTGCAGTGAGAGTAGAGTCATTGCTAGAGAGGAACTTTAGGGGGCTGAAGCCCCAAGTGTGGGTTGTTTAGCCCTGGATCTCTACAGGTGTTTGAGAGGCAACAACATAGTGTGTGCAGTTCCCTACTTCATATACTTTTTGCATGGCTCCTGTTTGAGTAAGGCAATGCCAGATTTTAGGCACAGACGTATACAATAATATCATACCTCTGTATCCAGTGGCAATCAGGTGTGTTCTGGGTTTCACTGGAGCAGTGAGAGAGCTATAAGCACCAGGAAAATGCATGGTTCTTAAATCCAAGCACAAGGGACAAATGTCTCCTTAACAGAGATAGCGCTAATTGAGGCTCAGAGGGCCCTGCAATAATGTGCTGCCCTGGGTACCACACATATTAGGCTTGATCCTCCTGAGTTGGCAATAAATAGGATCATGGCTGCCTACTTTTCTAAAATTGCGGCTTGTTGCTTCGATCGGGCACGGGGAGGTGGACAATCCCCAGCCCTGACTTGGAGCCTATCACTCTTGAGCCCTGTTCTCCTACCTTTGGGCAGATGGAGGTTTTCTCGGTCCCCACTGGAGTGTCGTGGTGGCTATACTATCACATTCTCCTGCTGCCCTGCATTTTGTAGTATCAAGGCCTAATCACTATACTGGCTGCCATGTTGGGGCCTGCAGTGACAGACAAACTCACACAACTGTCAGTGCAACGAATACTCATAGCCTTTGATCAGGTCTGTGCGCAATTCTGGGCGAAGCTGCATGAGCGGAGACTCACCTCCTTCCCTGCGGAATGAGCCAGAGTCCACAAAAAACACCCTGCCTGCCAGGCTGCTTCTCGCATCAATCACGCCGTGTCCCGGAGGGATGAGAAGGCAGAGAAGAAATGGGAAGTTAACACAGCGGTAGGCTCTCCTCAATGGCTTGGGCCCACATACTGGCAACAACCCCACCCGCCTACTAAGGCATCGACCCCATCATCCCCAGCATGACCTACCTTCTCTGGAGTCTTCTTGCTCACCACACTGCAAGACCGAGGGCGGCGGTGACATGCCCTGGTTATTATCCTGGGGAAGGTGCTTCCGAACAATCGCTTGGCTCAGGACATGACGGTAGATCTCCTTGGAGAGAATGTCAGAAGTGGCAGCAGGGACTTACCATCTTGTCTTTTCCACTGCTCTGCAAAAATAAAGAATGTTAAAAAAAAACCCCAGTTATTATTATTACTAAAAAACTGCATGGATAAAAAATGTTTTAGATGAACCAACATGGTGTGAAATTGGTCCAATCAATGTACTGCAAAATATATACATAATATATGTAGGGTAATAGCTGCTTGATCCAAGGCAGTGGCGTACATACCAGGGTCGTGGCTGCGACCGGGCCCGGCCCACCAGAGGGCCCGGCCGCCCCTGCGACCCGGTATGTACGCCCAGGGCCAGCCTCTTCCCCTGGGGGGCCCAGGAGGCGGCCACCCCAGGGCCCCCCGAGGCTGGCCCTGCTGACCCCAGCTGGCGGGTGGCCGGTCGGGCAGGAGGGCGCGCGAGGGAGCACTCAGTGCTTCCTCTTCCGCTCCCTCGCGCACCGCACTGATTCCGGAGCCGGAAGATGACGTCATCTTCCGGCGCCGGCATCCCTACGCGGTGCGCGAGGGAGCTGAAGAGGAAGCACTGAGTGCTCCCTCGCGCGCCCGCCTGCCCGACCAGCCACCCGCCAGCTGGGGTCAGCAGCACCACTGGACCCCAGGGAATCCCCCCAGCACTCCAAAAGGTAAGGAGGCTGGGGGGATTACATTAAAAAAACAAACAAAAAAAACAACTAGTGTTAGTGTTTGAGTGTGTGTGAGTGTTAGTGTGTGTGAGTGTTAGAGTGAGTGTTAATGTGTGTCTGCTAGTGAGTGTTAGTGTGTGTGAGTGTTAGAGTGAGTGTTAATGTGTGTCTGCTAGTGAGTGTTAGTGTGTGTGAGTGTTAGAGTGAGTGTTAATGTGTGTCTGCTAGTGAGTGTTAGTGTGAGTGTTAGTCTGTGTGAGTGTTAGTGTGTGTGTCTGCTAGTGAGTGTTAGTGTGAGTGTTAGTCTGTGTG